GTTCGAGAAGCTATTTTCCCACTGATCCTGAAGACAGGAACACACTGTGGCCCTTTGTCGTCTCTCAGTATGTGTGTAGTAAGAGGAAACACAGTTTTTAAAGATTTTGAACACAAGTCTTAATATATTTTTCTAAGGATCTCATCATTAATCACATTTTACTGTTGGAGATGCCATGTTGCTGTTAGAAGGGTAGCCTGCTTTGCTCCACTGCATCAAAAACACACAGACATATTCAGTTAATTTAAAAAAAAATTAGCCATTTTAAACATCGCCATTGTGCCTGCTGAGCCATTTCTGTCTTTAGGCTACACATAATAAGATGCATATGAGTCCATTGTCAACAATGTGTTTAGCTCAATTTTATGAGCGCGCACATGGCCACTCCGAGCCAGTTGTGACTGTCAAGCACCTGTGTTCCGTCCGCCTCTCTGCACCACAGACTGACAAGTTTGTGGTGTTTGTTGGTTTGTGACAACAAATGTAGCCATATGTACACTGGTGAGTCCTGTTTATTTTTTTCCAGTTAAGTGTGCAGCTGTCTTCAATGTTTCTTCTAAGCAGAATCAAGCTCAGAGTCAGCTGTGTTCGCAGCAGGTAAGCTCACATTCCTGCCAGGATAGAGAGAGCGCTCAGAGTAAAAACATATGAGGAATGTTGGTCTAGTGAATAGAGCAGCGCGCTTGGACTCTTAGAAGGTTGAAAGTACACCATTCGACCCCCACAGCCTTCACTTCAGCCAGTATCCACAGCTATTGTAGTTGAAGATTTAATTTGTCATGAGGGACTTTACTACATATACTGATGCTTGTGTTAGTGTTTGGGGGGAAGCTTCATCCAGAAGGTTCTCATGGGGTTAAATGATGGTTCACCCTAAAACCTCTGCTTTCTTTTAAAAAATTCCTTTTTTTATTTCTGTGCAATGAATTTACATCTTAATATGTACCTTTTGGTAATTTATTTAATTTCTTATTTATTCATTCAAAATTATTTATGGTCTTAAGTTATGTTTTTTTTAATATAATAATAATAATGGAAGATGGTTTTAAAAGCCATACCTTTACACTCTGTGCATGTTTCCAATGGCTTTTAATTTTGAAATAAAATTTGCAGTGATTCTTTCATAACTTCATTATTTAGTTATTTTTGCTTCTCCTTTATTAATGATCATCTTAAACAGGAAGAACCACAGGAGGAACAAGGCCAGGGGAATGGGGAGAACCTGCGGGAGAACCTGCGGGAACTACTGGACAGCACAGTTGGTTTGTATTATTTCCATTCTTAACATATCTTCAGAGCTATTTCAAGGATAATTTATGCATGTATCTATTTTGTTGTGGGTGCAACCAGGAAAACACACAGCACAACAGCAGATGCCACAATGGAAGTTCAGAGATCTTTCCAAGCCCTACCTTCCCAGATGAGAAGACCCGCTTAAATATTGGTCTAAACCTGCTGCTGTTTTTCCAAAAATTCACAACATTGCAAGGAAGTATTTATCAATGCCAGCAACATCTGTACCTTGTGTGCAGGTTGTCCCCAAAGCTGGAGATGTGAGACAGAAGAGGAGCAGATTGAAGTCAGACACAGTGGAAATTATTCTTTTTTTAATAAAATGGTTGAAACTAAAAAAAAAGTGCACAAGCTTTACTATTTTTTAAATGTAAGTAACACAAGCACCATCCCAGTTGCAAAAGCATACATGTTGGGATCTGGAGAAGTTCCACCTTTCTCCAGCAGAGTTCGCCGTGGATCCTCCTGAGCTGAGCCTTCAACACACCTGAGGCGCATCTCATCATCAGGAGGATCCTCCAGTATATAACCGGCCTTCAGACCTTGCCTCAACGCCGCAGTGTTTATCCAGTTTGGTTAGCACCTGAGCCTAGCACCTCCTGAGTACTTTCGTTGCTTCTGTTCCCTGGTTGGATTCTAATTCCTCTTTGTCTCTGCTTACAGGAATCCAGTTTCCCTTGTAAGCTCTGGATGAGCTTAACCTGCCGAGCCTGCCCTCTGAGCCAAACCTGAAGACTCTTCTCTGGATTCCCATGCTGCTCTGGACAAAGAGCTGGAAACCCAAAGTCAAGGTCTGCCCTCACGCTAGAAGCAAGACGCTGAAGCGGTTACTGAACTCTGCTGAACTAAATAATCTCTGGATCCAACAGTTCCTCTCTCAAAGCCAAACCCGGACTCCTCAAGGTATAAATCAGAAACTCTCAAACTCATCTTCTCCCAAGCTAACTGAACTGTCATCCTCACACACTCCAGTGAACCTGCCCCCCAGGCCTGAACCAGTTCCTGTGTTTAATCCATGTGCTTGTGCTTAATAAAACTTGTTAAACTTTTCATCTGTCTCTGTGGTTTTCTGCATACTGGGCTTTTCTGAAACCCATCATGACAATACATTCCTCCTGCATTCTTATTAACATTCTGTCAAGAACTGCTTAAAGTATGATTTTATAAGGTATAATTAACCCATTTAGGCCTAAAACACCTTAAAAACCTATGGCCGATTTAAAAAAATACCCCTAAAACCTGAAGTTTTTCTGTAAATTCAGCAACTGTGTCAACGCCTAGTAAATTATTGATATCTTAGCTTCTGTAGCAGATAGAACTCAAAATATATTTTATCTTTGAAATTCTTCCAAAAAAAAGTGAAAAGCAGTAATCAAAAAGAAAAAAAAAAAAATTCAACCTTTTATTTTTTCCATATGTGATCATGTCTTCATTGAGAATGTGCAATATAAAACGTTTTTAAAATAAAGAACAAACATTACATAAATAACTATCTGATGATTACTTATTAACAGTATTATTATGCATAATAATGCATTTGTCTGTGTTATAAATTGCAATACAACTTACCTCCAGATGGCCACAAATCTGTCCTGGGACATATTTTGGGGGAACTGCGTCCTGAAGAGAGGTTTACTCTGTCGCCAATAATCTCTTCGTACTGGCAACACAAGAAGTCCCATGCCCATACACAGCCCAATAAATGTGTTCATCTCCGTCACAGTCACGGGTGACCACTTTGCCATCTTTGCTCTTGTTGGAGTTTGGTTTGTTTGGTCACTGTACCTATTCGTCTCGGTAACAAGATGCATCCAAAGTTCTTCATTAAAAATATGCTCAAATGCCTGCAGCGGTGTGGCGTCTGCAGGCAAATCAACCTTCACTCCAGGTGTGCGGTTGAAAACACTCCGTGCATTGCGGTGGTAGTTCGATTGGTTCAGCGCGTTCAAAGTCATAATTTTCATCTATACCGTCATCAAAGCCGACACACTCCTCAAAATCACTGCCTTCCGACAACTCTTCTCTGTCAAACTCCTCCATGTTTGCTTGAAAAAAAAACTTCTTTCTTCTTGCTTGACTTATATGCTCTCCCGGCGTCAATGGTAGAATTACGCAACAGCGCCCCCGGCTTGAATGGTAGAAATGCGGTAATGCTTTCCCGGCCAAAATGGGTTAAAATTATGCTAATACAAGAAAAAAATTCATTCAATCTGTTATGCAACAGAAGGGATGTTAATCACATACAGATTTCACAAGTCAGGAATAAGAAATATACATATATATCTTCTTTAATCATTACCAATACTGTTCTTATGTAACAAAAGAGTTCAGTAACAAATTATTGAAGACACTTGGATACCAGCTCAAATATAGTTCTCATAGCTATCCAGCAGATGTCGCCATTCAAAAGTGTATTAAGTATTTTCAGCATGGTTTCAACTTTGGGGCAGTTGTTTTAAATTGATTTATGAGTTCATGGGGCTTCGAAATTGCCATCACTAGTTATAGCTGGGTTCCTTGAATAACAGGGAAACTTTTCTTCTCACTGGTAGTTGGTGATTTAGAGCTCAGGGTCCTGTAAATTAAAAGATGAGCGCATCTACCCTTTTCAACTGTCCTGTGACAAGGGGCCGAACGTCTGTAAAGTCAGTTACAAAAAGATCAGGACAAACCGGTCCACTCAAGTCCAGACAGATTTTTCCATACAAGTCGAAGCAAGTAGAAAAATCTGGGTGTGACTCATTATCCCTCTTGTTTCCTCTTACCGTCTCTGAGTTTGATTTCTGCCTCTATGGACTGTAGATGGAACCAGAACTGAGACGGTTTGTTATGGGAACAAAATGTATTAAACTATGTAACCCAGTTAAATAAAGGACACTGATAGTATTTCACTCAGTCTGCACTTTATTTGTCTTTGCATTGATGAGAACCAGACAATCATTTCAGTCCTCACAGCTCGATGTTCTGCTCTGTTCTGGTCTAGACAAGTTTTTTTCTAAAAATCCTAAAGCCTGCAAAGAGCTGTGAGTGAGTTAATCAAAACAAGTTACAACTGGTTGAAGAAAACAGTAAAATGTTGAAAAGACCTTTGAGGCTGAAGGAGTCAGGCCTCTTTTCCAATTATAGAAATAAAAAACATATATCACCCAGACACTGTAGTCTTGCAGGTGTGTGACGGCCTGAGTGAGTAAATAAAAATCAGCGTTCATAAATTAATCTTAGAAGCAATGTGATGGGAAATAGAAATTCTGATTACAGGGTCTTCTGAGCTTTAATTGTTTGTCTTCACAGGAAACAGACCATGTTTTATTTTCTACCAGTTGGACTCAGACTGGCAGGCTGCGAAGCAGAAAGCTTTAGCCTTTGTTTTCTTAGTGAGAACTTTGAACCGACCCTTTGGTTCTGATTCTGTAGATGTGAGCTCACAGTCAGAGTTTTTGGTTCCTCTCAGACCAGCGAGAGTCAGAAAGATTTTTACAGCCAAGGAGTTTTTTATTGCTGTGAGGAGGTGCTAACAAAAACATCCATCAGATTAAGCAGTTTATCTGAGATTATATAATATGGAATAAACACATGGAGGTTGTTGATGAAAAGCTCTGTGGCAGATGGAGGCAAATCACATGATAAAAAGGCAGCAGGGGAGGATAAGGGTGGAGCCTCAGGTGAGTCAGGTAAAAAGAGACGATCCGGTTTGTTCAGTCAGTAAAGAAAAGAACGCATCGACCTGAATCAGGGTGAGTGTTTGCTGCTCATTCTTCTTGTCTACCTCTCAGGCTTCTGACTGGGTTCTTTCTGTTTGGGCTTTTATTGGGCAGATCTAGGCCTGGTTCTGCTTCAGCTTCATGATTGAGAGTAACTGCATCTGATTTCTTTCTGGAACTTTGGTTTTTTTTTGTTGCTACATCTCTATAGTTCTGTATTTTGTTTCAGCAAAATAATTTTTGCGGTAAAATATTCTAAATTAAACAAAAATGTCTGTAATACATTCAGTTGATTTAAACAAAAAAAAAAAAATTAAAGAAAATAGCCCTGATAACTAGAGGGTAAAAAAAAATAAAAAACAAAACAAAAACAAAAATCTGCTTAATCTACCAAACAAAAGTGATGAAGCAGTGAAACTAATATAAATTCCAAAAAAAGTTCAAAACAAAACCATTGGACTTTTTTCCAAGTTTGAAAGTGTTTCGCTTCCCATCCAGAAAGCTTTCTGAATTCAAAATGTCTGGAGTAATGTAAAGCTCTATTCTTTATAGAGTTGCACAACCATAGCCTTGTTATGGCTTAGAAAACATGCAAATTAAACCGAAAACAGGTCTACCCCTTAGTAATGGAGAGTTGTTAGGGTCATTGTTGTTCTGCCTTACAGGAGCAATGTTTTTGATCACCTGCGTGGCGATAAGGATTGTGGCGATAACGGAAGGAATCAAGCTACGTTTTAGGTTAAAATTGACAGACGTAGTAGCCATGTCTGTCAGAGTCAGTGATGGGACTAACGGCGTTGAAAGTAACGGCGTTACTAACGGCGTTTTCAACCTACTGTATTTTTTATTTTAAACATTATTTGATGGCCTTTGTGGCAGGGATGGAGATCCATATTTTATGTCACACGCAGAGTATACATCTAGATAGATAGATGGATGGATGGATGGATGGATGGATGGATGTTGCAGTATCTATAACAACCCAAACACACAGGATTTCAGAATTAGACGTCCCCAGTTATTAATTTCACCAGATTTGAATGCCCTGTTAAAAGACTTCCCATGGCGTTCCCCCCTGATGTCATTTACGTTGAGTTGCAATAAATGCTAAACTCTCTGCAGGTTCTTGTCTTTGTCATCCGCTCTATTCAGCTGGCTTTAGAAACACACGGCGAGAAGGTGGGGGCAGGGTGGTGAGGGTTACGGGGGCGAGAAACACAAAAGTAACGCAATAGTTACTTTTACTAGTAACTAGTTACTTTTATTGTGGAGTAACTCAGTTAGTAACTCAGTTACTTTTTGGGAGAAGTAACTAGTAACTATAGTAACGTCTGCAGCTAGTACAAAATGCTACTGCACGACTTTTGACAGGTACTCGAAAGAGAGAACATGTGACCCCTGTCCTGGCCTCACTTCACTGGCTGCCTGTATATTTTAGGATTCATTTTAAAATTCTTATGTTTGTTTTTAAATCATTGCATAATCTTGCCCCAGCTTACCTCACTGAGCTTCTTCATCCTTACGTACCCCATCGGTCTCTCAGGTCAGCAAATCAGCTGCTCTTGGAGGAACCGAGAACAAAAAGGAAGCTCAGAGGGGACAGGGCTTTCTCTGTTATGGGCCCCAAATTATGGAATGACTTACCTTTGCAGGTCAGAGAGGCCCCTTCTTTGCCCATTTTTAAAGCTCGTCTTAAAACCCATCTATTTTACTTGGCTTTCAACACCAGTGGGATCTAGTTTTTAAATTGTATGTTTTTGTTTTTTTAAACTGTTTTTAAATTACTTTTATTATGTTGTGTTCTTAAATTGTACAGCACTTTGTATCAACTGTGGTTGTTTTAAAGTGCTTTATAAATAAAGTTGGTATGGTATGGTATAACTAATTACTTTTTCAATGTAACGTGCCCAACACTGGTCAGAGTAGCGCCATCTCCCTGTGGAGCAGAGACCGACCTGGTTTTTAGGCATACAGCGTGAGAAGGGAGATCACATCAGAGCTTCGTGCTGAACATGCATCTTGAGGTGTGAACTGAGCTGTAGCTGTGTGCAATGATTTAAAGCTGTGTAATTTAGGTTTGGGGGTTTTGTCTAAACCTATGATGAGCAGAGTGGTGTATCCTGTAAGCCAGGCCAACAACAAACCTCCCCTTTACAAGAGGTCAACCTGTTTTGGTTCAATTAGCATGTTTTCTATGCCATAACAAGGCTTTTGTTGGGCAATTCTATAATTCTATAATCCCATAAATTTGATTAAAATTGGTTGTATAAATATTATTAATATTATTATTGAAGGAAGAGGAGGATTTCCCCTATTTGGCAATATTTGACTTTATTCATTTCAGAAACAAGCTTCTCACCAGCTGAAATGCATTTATCTTATCGGCCGCAGAAACTGTGTTTTAAACACATTTTCTTCCTTATTTGTTCGAACCACCCAATGGGTATCCATTAATGGTACTGAAATGTCCCATAAAATCGCTGCTCTGGTGTGCAGCCCAGTGTAACTGTATCTTTCACTGTTTTTCAATGTATTCTAGCTAACGGACAATAAAAACACCTCACCCATCAGAGGCACTCAGCTGACATTTTCAGTCCCTGTGTTCAGTCTTTCAAAGGCTGGAGGAGCAAACAGTGTAACTAAGGAATAGATTAAAACCAAAAGCTTTTGAAAATGTATTATTTCTGAATAAAATATCCAGCAGCCTAATTATTGTTGTTTTTTAATTCATTTAACACTAGCAATCCCACAAACAAGAATTTTCGTCAGCCTGCAGCCCCCCCGCAGTTCTTCACAACTCATGTATCCTTTTTCAGATGTAAATGCCCCATTAGCGCTGTGGCTGGAGAAACATTCCACCCCCTTCAGTTTCGGTTTTAGCTGAAGTCTCTATCTTTGAGACTGTTTTACCTGAGAGCAGGCGGGGGGGGGGGGGGGGGGGGGGGGGGGGGGGAATCATATTTGTAGTTAAATAGAACTAGCTCTGCAAGACAATTAATTGAAAACGTCACCAAGGAGAGGTGGATTATTATCACATGTATTGGATTCGTAAATAATACTTTTCTGAGGGAATTTCCAAAGCCTAAATGACAAATGGCACCTCTATTCTATTATTAGAATAAGTATAAAATGAGCAATGACTACACTATAGATCATTGTAGTGCCTCCAAACTTGTAGGATACACACATAATCTCATCTGGATCATACTACAACTCTTACTTTGGGAAGATAGGCCAAAATGTATTTTTGGATATTTTTTATTTGTTATTATAAGCATATGTTAGCCATAATTACACTACAGATCATTGTAGGGTTTGTAAAAACTGCTAAATGGGACAATTGTAGCTTCCTATTTAGTGCTTTTCCTTGGGTGAAATAAATGTTACTGCTATACTGAAATCATACTGTTTGTCATTCTCTAAGCTGAAATGTTGAATGAAATGAAAAGGTGAGACAAGACAAAATACAATTATTCTCTATGTTTCTTTCACATGGTGAGCTTTGCAACAATATAAAAGAGTCTGTTGGTGAATGGACAATATAAATAGTCTCTGCCTTTCCTTGTTGGAAAAGCATGGTTATGATCTGTTCTCAGCTCAGGAATTAGGACCCGTATGATATCTGGTTGTTCAATAGGTTTGCCTAAATAAAAGATTTTGATATGACTTATTAGTGTCACGATCGGCAGGGTTTCTAGCCCAAATGCAGAACACACACACAGAGGCAGGGGAAAAGTCCAAGAGTTTATTGGATGCAGACAGGGTTCTACCTGGGAGGCAGAGAGGACAAAGCAGGTTAGGTTTAGGTTTACAGGTTCAGTAAAGATAGGCAGGCTGGCTCAGGCTTGCTGACCATAACTAGTTAAACAATCCGGCTCAGAGTGAAACTCTCTTCCAGCTCATATAGGAAAACCCTAATGAGCTGATGGGGAACAGCTGCTACCGCTGAGCACAAGCTCTCAGGAAAGGATCCACGGCGCCCTCTGGTGGGCAAGCCTCTAGATCCTAACAAGCAGCAGAAACCCTCAGGAAGGGATCCACGTCGCCCTCTGGAGGGCAAACCACTGGATCCCAACAGACAACAGAACCCCACAGAAAAGGATCCATGTCGTGCTCTGGAGGGCAAACCTCTGGATCCCAACAGTACCCCCCCCCCCTCAAGGGCGGATTCCAGACGCCCAAAAAAAAAAAAAACAACCCACCCAGGGTGGGCGGAGGGGGAAACAGGCAAGGAGGGCCAGGCACAGAAACAGAACAGGGTCCGAAAACCTAAAAAACCCACCCAGGGTGGGCGAGGGCAAAGAAAAGTCTCAGGAGACCGGCCGTGGGGCTGGAGGCAAGGCAGAGTCTCAGGAGGCCGGCCGCAGGGCCGAAGGCAAGGCAGAGTCTCAGGAGGCCGGCCGTGGGACCGGAGCTGAAGCAGATGCTCTGGAGGCCGGAGTCTCCAAAGCTGCAGGGACCTTGGAGGAGGACCCCACCTCCGCTTCAGCAGGAAGCTCCGAGGAGGACGCCGCCTCCGCTTCAGCAGGAAGCCCCGAGGAGGACTCTGCCTCAGCAGGAAGCCCCGAGGAGGACGCCGCCTCCGCTTTAGCAGGAAGCACCGAGGAGGATGCCACCTCCGCTTCAGCAGGAAGCACCGAGGAGGACGCCGCCTCCGCTTCTGCTGCTCTGCAACAGGCTTAGATAGGGCCGCCCACTGCGGCTCCGAATCAGGAACACAGGAGCCTGCGATTGCGGCTCCGAATCAGGAACTGAGGAGGCTGCCGATTGCGGCTCCGAATCAGGAACTGAGGAGGCTGCCGACTGCGGCTCCGAATCAGGAACTGAGGAAGTCGCCGATTGCGGTTCCGAATCAGGAACACAAGAGACCGCAGATTGCGGCTCCGAATCAGGAACACAGGAGACCGCAGATTGCGGCTCCGAATCAGGAACAGAGGAGGCCACCGACTGTGGCTCCACAGGAACACAGGAGACCTACAAAGAGATCAGGCTCAGTATAGCCTCTTACATTTTAGCTTGAATTGATTTATTTAATTAAAGTATAGAGACCAAAACAGATCTTTAGCTGACAGAGCAATACATTTAGAGCAGTAATTATTTAAAAAAAATTGCATTTAAGAGAAAAAATAAAGTGTCTGTCGATATGCTCAATTCACAATTACTTAAGTGGAAAAGTTTCAAGGAATGAGTCTGAGATGATTCACTTTATAACATGGCGCATTATCCTGTTGGAAGTAGCCATCAGAAGATTGGTACACTGTGGTCATAAGGCCAGGTAAAACTCCGCAATTGCCATCGCACCAAACAGGAAAAAGAACATCGACAAATTCCGGTTCGTCAAATTAAAATAGCAGCAACAGATCGGTGACTAGAAATTATAGCACAATTCTTATATATTATATTAAAAAAAAAACTACCACCGTTTATTTAAATGATTGGATCCAAACTATTGGTTATTCACCAACAAGGAAGCAGATTTCTCATCTCCACTGAAATATTTATTTTATACCGAGGGACTTAAACTTTACTCAAATCCATTCAAAAGAAACTTCTTATTACAGGAATGAAAAGAGATGCTGAGTTTGGGAGTAGAAAACAAGTTCATTCAAAAAAAGCAGTTTTGAATTATCCTTATCCCCGTTACAAAAATCTACAAATATATATATATATATATATATATATATATATATATATATATATATATATATATATATATATATTTGGGCAGAAACTGAACATATGCTGGATGATGGTGGGATTTTTTTAATATGTAATTTTAAATTAAGCACTCACAGGGTTCATACAGGAATGAGTGACTCTAATTTAATGCTATTAGAAATGATTTTAATGCCATCACCAAGAACCATGTACACAAGTTATTAGTGTACATGAAATATGAAGGAGCTGTAAGCAGAGTTCCATGACTCCTGTATGTATGTAAACACACACACACACACACACACACACACACACACACACACACACACACACACACACACACACACACACACATATATACGTATATATATATATCCTCTAGCTTTTTCTCCGCCTGGAGCTTCCTTTCCGAACATACGGCTTTATGATCAGTTCCACGCAAATTAATAGCGATATAATATATCTGACGAAATTGTTTTTATAAGCATTTTTTATTAAAGAATTATAAATACTTCGATAAACATATTTAAATAATTGTAGTGCCAATTAAGGCCTTGATAAAAAAAATAATGAATGAATTGTAATTATTTTTAATGATCCGCGGAAACCCTGGTTCATCTCGCGCATGCTCTCTACGATCTCCAAGAAACTCAGAGCTGAGCGGTCTGGAACCACAGCGGAGGATGTATGCTTTGCTTTGTGCAGGCGGTCTGGAGCGGAGTATGTGGGATTTCGGGGTAAAACTCCTCTTGGACGCGATGGCGACTCTGAGGTCGAACAAGACAAACTCAAAGAAGAGATGTTAGCGGTAAATATATGTTCGATTACTGCCTGCTAAGCTAAAAGCAGCCTAGCCTAAGCTACGGCTAATAGCAGCCTAGCCTAAAGCTACGGCTAATAACAGCCTAGCCTAAAGCTACGGCTAATAGTAGCCTTGCAAGAACAAGCTTTATTAAAGTGTATTTTTTGTGATTCATAGGAAGCAGTACGCCGTCTTCACAATTAGGAGACTAATTGCAGGCGCTATGAACCGGAGCAAGGGTAAGATTTAAAGAATATGCTTTCATTCTGCGGTAAAAGGAAATGGATACTGATAGATACCGATCATAGCTTTACATTTTGTTTTCACAGAATACTGTCGCCTCACAATCAGGCGGTGACCGCCTATCTGCTTGGAGCCATATCAGCAAGTCCAGATTTGCATGATGTTGATAAAGAGTGACTTGTTTTAATGTTTTCTCCTTCCTTTTTACTGTGACTTGCGTTTGATTTTTTTATTCATACCACTCTCATTTAATTGTTTTCCAGCTGCCTGTAAGACGTATTTTCAGACGGTATGCAGGAGCTTCAGATATACGCAGCCAGCCAACACGTTGCGTGCGGAGGCTGCCAAGCAATCTGCTCGGAGTCGGGCCAGAAGAAAGAGGGTAAGACTTTATTTGGTGACTATTTTTCAGGTGCATTGATAGATTTGTTGTGTCCATACGCAGAGTGCTGATTCATTGTTTTTTTTCAGCTGCTGAAAGCGAGGCAGAGGGTGCTAGCAGATGAGGAAGTGGAACTCTGGAAGTCCGCCACCGTCGACCTCATGTCCGACGAAGAAGATGGCGTCGTTGGCTGTGTCTCTGGATGGATTGTACGGTCGCCACCATTTCGTAGGCCGGATCTCACTGAACTCTGTGTTAAGCTGCAGTCCCGGTTAGAAGCGATGCCGAAGTACAGGGCCGCGCACAGTAGGCGTCTGCACATCGGACCTGCCTCGGAGGGAATGCTGCCAGTTACCTCCAACCCCGAGGAAGCAAACAGACCGCTCATGGACTTGTAATTTTTAGATACGCATGTGTTTGGATACGCGTTGTATATAGTTGTGTGTGTTTTAATAAAGCTCTTTCTTTGCATAAACAGCTTCCTGGCAACTGTATAAATTCATTCATGTCCTTGATGGTAGCCTAATAATTGTGTAGTATTGTAGGATAACATAAATACACAGCATATGAATGAATAAATATATGAATGAATAAATATATGAATGAATAAATATATATATATATATATATATATATATATATATATATATATATATATATATATATATATATATATATATGTAAATTTATATGTAAATATATATATATATGCCAACCAATCACGAGCAACTTTACTTGTTTAAAAAGAAGTGGTTCCGTCCAATACTCAGTAAGAAAATTCAAGCCTGGCCTGGCCACATGTGGTTCCATATACGTCAGAGTCCGTTTCCGACAATTTGTGGCACGACAAACGTGGACAAGCGCGGGTTGCAAATTGTTGGAAACTGACGAAAATCAGGGAGATCTGCGGGAGTTTACGGGGACGAAAATCTCACTTTTCATGCAGTGTTTAGTGATTTACAAATGGAAAAATGGAGAGAAGTGCCCATTCCGCTAAAATGTATTTTAAACCAGAAATGCTCACTGGGTTCATCCCTGGTAATGAGTCATTGTCTTTGTCAGCATTTAAAGATTAACCATCTTGTTTGACACAAATCTCACTTTTCCCAGTATAACTGATGGAGGAGAGGTATGGACTTCCTCCATCAGAAAAGTGAGATCTGAGATCTATGCTTTTCTGCTTCCACATTATCTCCTGTTTATTTCCTCTCTAGAGATGAGGACGATCCTGATGTGGCTGTAAAACAACAACAGAGTTTAATCAGTCAGGAGCTTCTGCAGATACATTGTAATGCAGACCTCTTCAGCAGATCCTTCCTGCTCTCAGCCATTATCCTCTATAAGGACTCTGATTTATTACAAAACATTTTGTTTTCCTTTAAGATAAAAATAAAGAAAAAACTTTGGTTTAAAATATCGGTTTTATTCAGGGTTTTTATTTTAAACTAGCTGCTAATGGTTATAAAAATCAAGTTTATACAGGATCAGCTTCCTGCTCTACAGGACAGGTTAGAGAGCAGCTAACTGGGAACACTGGGACTGAACCACATCTGAGTCTCTGTTTCTCTTTCAGGTGGATTTCATTCTGGGAGAAACAGTTTTTCAGGAAGACAGATGAAACCACAGCAGTGTCTCCATCACCCAGCACTGTTTTTGTGAGAGTGACGTGTTTAAAGCTCATTCTGAAGGTTTCACTAATTATCCTTGACTACCAGAGCAAAGGTAAGGTCTGTCAAAACATTATATAATCATCAGTGTGACTAAAAATATTTAATATCTTTAAATTGCTTAGAATAAAATTCAGGTTGAGAAATTGAATTTCAGAAATAAAGACTTATTTTATGTATAATAAAAAAGAACAGTAGTAAGTACAGTAATTTATTTAAAGCTAGGAGATAATACTTGTCTTAACAGAGAAAAGCATAAACAAGAGGTGAAGAGAAAAAAACTATAGAGAAACTCTGTAATAGTGTTGGGATCCTGAGGCTTGCCCACCAGAGGGCGCTGAGGATCCTCTTCTGTTATGTTTTCTGTTAAGGACTGGGGTTACTGTTGGGATCTGGAGATCTACCATCTGTCTCCAGCAGAGAGCGCTGTGGGTCTCCTGGGCTGGACTCTGCCTCGCTGCCTGTCCCACGGCCGGCTACCTGAGACTCTACATTATAAACTATCAGAGACTTTTGTTGCTTTCGTCCACCTTAAGTGGATTGTTTTTTGTTCTGGACTCAGTTTTTGTTTTTTGCCCTCCTGGCCTGTTTCCCCCTCCGCCCACCCTGGATGGGTTGTCTTTTTGTTTTTTGGTCTCTGTTTTTGTTGTTTCTGGCCCTCCTTGCCCTAGTGCCCCCTCAACCCGCCCTGGGTGGGTTTTTTTTTTTTTTTTTTTTTCATGGACTGTTCTGAGGGCGTATGGAATCCGCCCTTGAGGGGGGGGCTCTGTTGGGATCCTGAGGCTTGCCCACCAGAGGGCACCGAGGATCCTCTTCTGTTATATGTTTTCTGTTAAGGACTGGGGTTACTGTTGGGATCTGGAGATCTACCATCTGTCTCCAGCAGAGAGCGCTGTGGGTCTCCTGGGCTGGAGCCTCCAGCACACCTGAAGCTCATCAACTCATCAGGAGACCTTCCTACATAAGCAGCAGTCAGACCTTCCTTCGATGCCGGAGTGTTGACCAAGTTTGAAAACCTGACCGAAGTCTGAAGCTCTGGATGAGCCTTACCTGGAAACTTGCCTGCCTGCCCAAGGGAGCCAAACCTGAAGGTCTTAGTCTGGATTCCTCCTTCAGCTCTCAGGGAAGAGCTAGGAAGCTAAACCTGAAGATCTCAGTCTGGATTCCTCCCTCAGCTCTCAGGGAAGAGCTAGGAACAAACACACGTCAGAGTCTCACTAACCAGAAGCTAGACGCTGCTGCTGCTGAGCTCTCTGCTACTTCCACAATCTTTGGACCCAACCGGTTCCCCATCTCAAGGATCTGTCAGAACCTCTTCAAGTTTGGTGTTCTGCATGTGGGTTAAGTCCATTAGCCAATCAGGACAGAACACTCCGGCTATTCACAAAACCCAGCAGATCACCTCCGGAGGAGGCTTGAGGAACAAGCTACTCAGATCTACGAACTCTATTCAACCCTCCGTGATTTAAATCCCAGTTTTGACCAGACTTTTCAGGACTTAGCAGGCAACGTGAGAAGCGCTAACACGACGCCAGCTCAACTTCCGGTTCCGGAGCCCGTTTCGTCACTTCTTCCGCTTCTAAGGTCAGAATCTGCTCCGTCACTTCCTGAATTCCGTCCCCCACTTCCTGAAAGGTTTTCTGGCATACCTAGTAGCTGTAAAGGATTTTTGCTTCAATGCAAATTGTTTTTTGAATTTTCTCCGTCCAATTTTCCAAATGATGAGACAAAAATAGCCTTTATTCTCTCATGGTTATCAGGAAAAGCCCGCAAATGGGCAAAGACCAGCTGTTCTTCTAAATCCAGTATTTCCAGTACATTTGAACATTTTTTAAAGGAACTCTCTCTAGCCTTTTCAGAATCTACTAAATCTCAGGGTCTGTCTAATTTAAAACAAGGGAATAGAACCATAGAAGAGTTTTCTATAGACTTCCAGATCAGAGCTGCTGCTTCCTGCTGGACTGATGCTATGTTAAAGAATATCTACCGCAACACACTAAACAAGGAAATTAAGGACAGACTTGCAACCATAGAGGAACCTGAAACCCTAGAAGAGCTCATTCACACAGCCTTATATCTCGATCACAAAGTACGCACAAGAGGTCAACCCGGCTTAGCCCAGTCCAGCCCAGCTCAGCCCAGTTCAGTCCAGATCTGCCTAGTCCAGTCCAGTTTAGTCCAGTCCAGCTCAGTCCAGTCCAGTACAGCTCTGTACATCCCAGTTCAGTCCACTTCTGCACAGTTCTATCCAGTTCAGCCATCACTTACGTGACTGCCAGGTAGCACCATCCGTTAAGAGGCTTAAAATCAAACCAACTAATTCAACTCCTATGACTGTTAGCATTTCAGCTAAACCAGCACCTGAAACCTATTGCAAACCAGTTAGCCTTTTCTCTCAGTCAGTCTCTGAACCTATTAGCCCTACTCCTAACGAACCCCGACTTAAGAGACGGCGGCGCCGTAAGCCAGCTCTGAGCCGTCTGGAGACCCCTGAGCCGGTTCTGAGCCGTCTAAAGACACCTGAGCCAGCCGTGAGCCGTCTTGAGTCAGTTCTGTGCTATTTTGAAACCCTGGAGTCAGCTCCATGCCATTTTGAAACCCCTGAGTCAGCTCCGTGCCATTTTGAAACCCTTGAGTCAGCTCCGTGCCGTTTAGAGACCCCTGAACCAGCTCCGAGCAGTCGGTTCTGAGCCGTATAAAGACCCCTGAGTTAGCTCTGTGCTGTCCAGAGACCCCTGAGTTAGCTCTGTGCCGTCCAGAGACCCCTGAGCAGAATCTTAAAGAGGTATGTGATTTTACGCCTCCCAGGACTTTTCTGCAGGCGCCCCTGACCGCCAAGAGTCCTCTGCGAGCATCACCAGCGGTTTCTCCCTTGCTGGAGTTGGAGCCACAGTCGGTGATCACCTCTGTTCCTGAGGTGGAGCCACAATCAGCAGACTCCTCTGTTCCTGACTCGGAGCCGCAATCGGCGGGCTCCTCTGTTCCTGACTCGGAGCCGCAATCGGCAGGCTCCTCTGTTCCTGACTCGGAGCCGCAATCGGCGGGCTCCTCTGTTCCTGACTCGGAGCCGCAATCAGCGGGCTCCTCTGTTCCTGACTCGGAGCCGCAATCGGCAGGCTCCTCTGTTCCTGACTCGGAGCCGGAATCGGCGGGCTCCTCTGTTCTGATCCGGAGCCGCAATCGGCGGGCTCCTCTGTTCCTGATCCGAAGTCGCAATCAGCAGGCTCCTCTGTTCCTGACCCGGAGCCGCAATCGGCGGGCTCCTCTGTTCCTGACCCGGAGCTGCAATCGGCGGGCTCCTCTGTTCCTGACCCGGAGCCGCAATCGGCGGGCTCCTCTGTTCCTGACCAGGAGCCGCAATCGGCGGGCTCCTCTGTTCCTGACCCCGAGCCACAGTTGGCGGGCTCCTCTATTCCAGTCCAGGAACCGCAGTCAGTGGTCTCCTCTGTTCCAGTCCAGGAGCCGCAGTCGGCGGTCTCCCCAGAGCCTGTTCCTGGGCCGCAGTCAGCGGCCACCACAGAGTCTGTTCCAGAGCCGCAGTCGGTGGCCACCTCAGAGCCTGTTCCAGAGCCACAGTCGGCGGCCACCTCAGAGCCTGTTCCAGAGCCGCAGTCGGCGGCCACCTCAGAGCCTGTTTCAGGGCCGCTGAAGAGGGGACGGGGTACCCCTTGGGGCTACCTACTGAAAGTGGGGTGTCATCCTCCTAAGAAGCTGCTACACCTCCGGCCCCGCGGCCGGCCTCCAGAGCGTCAGCTTCGCCTCCGGCCCCGCAGCCGACCTCCAGAGCGTCAGCATCGCCTTCGTCCTGCGGCCGACCTGCAGAGCGTCAGCGTCACCTTCGGTCCCGCAGCCGGCCACCCAAGACTCTACTCCGCTGCCGGACCCTCGGCCGGCCTCCAGAACCTCTGCCACGTCTTCGGTCCCACAGCCGGCCACCTGAGACTCTGCTCCACTGCCGGCCCCTCGGCCGGCCACCTGAACCTCTGCCTTGCTGCCGGTCCCACGGCCAGCCACCTGAACCTCTGCCTCGCCGCCGACCCCACGGTCGGCCACCTGAAACACTGCCTCGCTGCCGGTCCCATGGCCGGCCACCTGAGACTGCCTCGCTGCCTGTCCCACGGCCGGCCACCTGAGACTCTACATTATAAACTATCAGAGACTTTTGTTGCTTTCGTCCACCTTAAGTGGATTGTTTTTTGTTCTGGACTCAGTTTTTGTTTTTTGCCCTCCTGGCCTGTTTCCCCCTCCGCCCACCCTGGATGGGTTGTCTTTTTGTTTTTTGGTCTCTGTTTTTGTTGTTTCTGGCCCTCCTTGCCCTAGTGCCCCCTCTGCCCGCCCTGGGTGGGTTTTTTTTTTTTTTTTTTTTTCATGGACTGTTCTGAGGGTGTCTGGAATCCGCCCTTGAGGGGGGGGCTCTGTTGGGATCCTGAGGCTTGCCCACCAGAGGGCACCGAGGATCCTCTTCTGTTATATGTTTTCTGTTAAGGACTGGGGTTACTGTTGGGATCTGGAGATCTACCATCTGTCTCCAGCAGAGAGCGCTGTGGGTCTCCTGGGCTGGAGCCTCCAGCACACCTGAAGCTCATCAACTCATCAGGAGACCTTCCTACATAAGCAGCAGTCAGACCTTCCTTCGATGCCGGAGTGTTGACCAAGTTTGAAAACCTGACCGAAGTCTGAAGCTCTGGATGAGCCTTACCTGGAAACTTGCCTGCCTGCCCAAGGGAGCCAAACCTACTTCCACAATCTCTGGACCCAACCGGTTCCCCATCTCAAGGATCTGTCAGAACCTCTTCAAGTTTGGTGTTCTGCATGTGGGTTAAGTCCATTAGCCAATCATGACAAATAGATAATAATATTTATATCTGTAACCATATAAAGTCTTTCTGTTTTGTGGAGTCACAAATTCAGACGCATTATATCAACCAGCTGTTGGTATTTAATGATTTTAGGAGTAAAATCAATAGAAACAAACACAAACATAGTTATTTTTTCTATGTCAGCAGCTTCTCACCCTTTTAATCAACATGCTTTACATTTCCTAAGAAGTTATTTGGTCAACAGAAAAAAAACGTGGCCTCCTTCTTCAACCTGACAGCATCCCTCACTGTAGGTGTCCACCAACGGGTTCGAGGGTTGCCGCCACGACAGGCACCGACAACCTTGCGGCCGCAGCTTAGATAAACTGCCTTGACAATGGAGGAATGGAACATGGTCCACTCGGACTCAATGTCCCCCACCTCCCCCGGGATGTGTTTGAAGTTCTGTGGGAGATGGGAGTTAAAGCCCCGCCTAACCGGGGACTCCGCCAGACGTTTCCAGCAGACCCTCACAACACGTTTGGGCCTGCCAGGTCTGACCGGCATCCTACCCCACCATCGGAGCCAACTCACCACCAGGTAGTGGTCAGTGGAAACTCCGCACATCTCTTCACCCGAGTGTCCAAGACATATGGCCGCAGGTCCAATGAAACGATGACAAAGTCGATCATCGAACTGCGGCCTAGGGTGTCCTGGTGCCAAGTGCACATATGGACACCCTTATGCTTGAACATGCTGTTCGTTATAGACAAGCCATGACGAGCACAGAAGTCCAACAACAGAACACCACTCGAGTTCAGATCGGGGCGGAGATTCCTCCCAACCACGCCCCTCCAGGTCTCACTGTCATTGCCCACGTGAGCGTTGAAGTCTCCCAGCAGAACAAGGGAGTCCCCAGGAGGGGCACCCTCCAGTACCCCCTCTAAGGACTCCAAGAAGGGTGGGTAATCTGAACTGTTGTTCGGCCCGTAAGGAGTTTGGAGAGGCCATGGAGAAAGACTTCTGTACGGCTCCAAAGCGATTCTGGTCTGCCATCTAGCTACTCAGGAGGGGGAAGTGGTGCAGCACCAACACTGTTTATGGTGGGGATGGTGTGCTGCTGACCTCGACTCGGGACGTTGTGGGTCGGTGGGTGAGTTTCTCAAGGTCCTGGATGTTGTAGGGTTGTGTTGGCTGACACGACTCTGCAACATTGCATGGACATTGGGGGCAGTCCCCCTGGATTGGCAGACTGGGGTGGTGGCCCCCCTATTCAAAAAGGTGGACCGGAGGGTGTGCTCCAATTACAGGGGAGTCAAACTCTTAAGCTTCGCCGGCAGGGTCTATTCGGGGGTGCTGGAGAGGAGGGTCTGTCAGATAGTTCAACCTCGGATTCAGGAAGAGCAGAGTGGTTTTCGTTCTGGTCGTGGAATGCTGGACCATCTCTACACCCTCAGCAGGGTCCTGGAGGGTGCATGGGAGTTCGCCTAACCAGTCTAAGTGTGCTTTGTGGACTTGAAGAAGGCGTTCGACCGTGTCCCTCGGGCGGCCCTGTGGGGGGTTCTACGGGAGTACGGGGTGCCGGACCCTTTTATACGCGCTGTCAGGTCCCTGTATGACCTGTGTCAGAGTCTGGTCCGCATTGCCAGCAGTAAGTCAGGCTCGTTTCCGGTGCGAGTTGGACTCTGCCAGGGCTGCCCTTTGTCACAGATTCTGTTCATTACCTTCATGGACAGAATTTCTAGGCACAGCCAAGGTGTTGAGGGGATCCGTTTTGGTGGCCTTAGGATTGCGTCTCTGTTTTTTGCAGATGATGTGGTCCTATTGGCTTCATCAGGTCGTGATCTGCAGCTCTAGCTGGATCGGTTCGCAGCAGAGTGTGAAACGGTGGGGATGTGGATCAGTGCCTCCAAATCTGAGGCCATGGTCTTGAGCCGGAAAAGAGTAGAGTGCCTTCTCCGGGTCGGGGGGGGGGGGGGGGGGGGTGTCCTGCCCCAAGTGGAGGAGTTTAAGAATCTTGGGATCTTGTTCACGAATGAGGGAAGAAGGGAGCGGGAGATCGACAGGCGGATTGGCGCAGCGTCTGCCATGAAGCAGGTGCTGTACCGGTCCGTCATGGTGAAGAGAGAGCTGAGTCAAAAAGCAAAGCTCTTGATTTACCGGTCGATCTACATTGCAGTTTTTCTGCCATTTTAGTGAAATAAACTCAGACAGTGAAAGTGTGCAAATTGGGCAATGATGAGTAAAACAATAGGTATTAGTCATTTTTATTCAAACATAGTTTTTCCACATTTTTTTGTTTTTTAATCGGGTTGGAAACTGTGTTCAGCCAATCTTTTGGCTAAAGCAACCTAATTTGGCAGCGTTTATACCCAATCTATATTTTTACTAGGGCAAACCAATGTAATGGCTCATTAGCCAAAATAACTAAGTATAATCACAACTTTCAAAAGCCAAAGGTGGAACTTTAACCATTAACCTCAGCAGAAGGAGTCTCTGTCTTACAGATGACGCCACTTATATTGTTAGTTGTTTGATCGAGAAAATACTATTTAACACTAACGTGTTCACACCAACTGTATCCGGTGGCTTGCTCAGACTTTGATCATTTCATTGTTTAATTGAACCAAAATAGTTTTAAGCAACTGGATTGGTTGTTTTTCCAACCAATCTCTTCTTAGATTCTATCCAAACTCTATCCAGCTGACAACAGCTCTCCTCCAAACTACCACATCTTGACTGAACACTGAGGCTGTTTAAATGCCTGTCAAAATTCTTGCGGTTCCCAAACCACTTCCCGAAGCGGTCGCGTGGTATCATGGTAGCGAGGCCTCGGACGTCATCAATTTTGGCGCCTCCCCTAAATGAATCACGCCTCGACACGCGCTTCGGGGAAACGCCCCCTCCATTACTCAACACACGCCTCGAAGCCTCAGCTCATCTCATAACATCACTACTGTTCACAGAGAGGGTTTCTTTAAATCTGCTGCTCTGGTTGGCACTGTATCAGCAGCAATAAATGTGTTCATGATGATTGGTTCTGTTTCAGAAAAAGGACAAAGATCCTCTGCTCTCTGTTATGACTTTATCGCAAACTGGAAACTTATTATTAGGGAACTTTCTTAGAACAAGAAAAGACCTGTTTGTTCTGGTTCTTTAGGTCTGAGTCCATTTAGAAACTGTTTTCCTGCTAACAGCCTTTGCTCCTACTATACTGAAAAAGAAAACTGACTGAAATGTTTCAGATCATCTCATATCAGAAAAAGACCATAAAAAAGAAACAGAAAATGTTATTTTGAAAATATTGATCTCGCTCTTTAAATTCTGGTTCTAGTTGTAATTCATGATCTCCAGAAAATGCATCAGATCACCTGATATCTGTAGCTTTTTTAGAGAACATCCTACAGACTGTTTTATGTATGTTCAGAAGGAGAAGTCCAACAGAAAAGAGGACCCAGTATTATAGGCAGACATATCTAAAACACATTTATTTGAAATAATACCATAATACCGGAGAGATTTGTTTGAAGTTTCCATTAGCATTTAGCATAACTAAAATAGAAAATTATTTAGCTCTTTGCATTTCTAGAGTAACTCTGTTCCACACTGAAGTGAAATGTATTTGTTAAACTTTTTCAGTAACTGATCTCTCAAATACTTTTTTAATTGTAACATTGAAACGCTCTGAACATTTTTCTAAATGATCAAATGACAATAAAGTGTACCAATTCAGATACTTTTGTGCCTTTTCCAAATTGTGTTCTTGATGTTTTGAGATTTCTTTTGTTAACTGGTATTTTTCCCTTTTGGACTTGCTTTGTTCATTTTCTTGCAAAAAAAAAAAACTTACATTGTGATCAGTAAGACCAGTGAGTAAATTATTATTATTTTTTTATTCCATGAGGTTTATTAGAGTAATTTAAATCAACTTCTGATTCTGAATGATTGTTAATTCAGTTACTCATTGTACATTCCTTCTGTTCTGTTTTTTCATCCCAACTGATGTTAAAAGTTCTAAATACAAGTTTATTTATCTGATTACACCTTTTCAGGAGTTCTTTCATCAGGTCATAAAATAATATTTAGATGAAGGTCTATGATAGAGACAAATTCCAGTTAATTATATTTCATTAGAGAGGGACATAATAATGGTGACACATTCTAAAGTCACACTACTAAGCCATATGATAGGGCTCCATTTAAAAATATACACGGAACCAGATGGTTCCTGCTGGAATCAGGTTCCTCTGGTCCTCTACACACATGATGGGAATCAGCTTTCTGCTTTACAGGACGCTAACTGGACCTGAACCACTGGGAACTGACTGGTTCTGGTTTCTCTCTCAGACTGACTGAAGTCCAGAAGATGGAAGATCTGGATCAAAATGAGCACAGAGCAAAACCTCCAGGCTGCAGCTGGCCTTCTATGAGGAGTGACTGGACCAAAGATCACACTCAATACTTCACATCAGAACCTGGACCCTCAGACAGAAGGTAAGGAACCAGTTTCTAAATGACTCCAGAGAGATAGAACCTCTAGAATCTGAACTGGTTGACCATCAGTATCTAAAGCCAAAGTTCTTTAGTTTTTCTTTCAGCTTAAAACTAAATACATGTCCAATGTTGGGGTGTGGGGTGTGTGTGTGTGTTGGGGGGGGGGGATTTGTCTGAGAGCCAGCCGCTCAAAGCACTTGGTGATGATGGGGGGTAATCGTCTGTTTATGAGGGCGATGGTTCTGCTCACTCCAGGATGGGCTGAGAATTTTGCTGCGTGCATCCACTGGATGAGGCGGGATCTGACGGAAGACCGGACATACATTTTATTTGGAGGACCATTACCTGGGTCGGGTTCAGAAGCAAAGGCAGAGTTAATCAGATCAGTGATTTCCCAGGAAACGGCTCCAACTGTACAAGAGGCTGGGAGAACAGGTTCGGGTGTCTCAGGTTGGTCGGTGGAATACAGACGAGAGAGAGAGTCGGGCTTGACGTTCTTGGAACCAGGTCTGTAGGAAATGATGAGATTAAAACGAGAAAAGAACAAGGACCACCTTGAATGCCGTGGGTTGAATCTCTTTGCCGATTGAATATAAGCCAGGTTCTTGTGGTCAGTCCAAACCAGTACTGGATGCTCGGCCCCCTCGAGCCAGTGTCTCCATTCCTCCAGGGCGAGCTTAATGGCCAGAAGTTCTCGGTCTCCAACATCATAATTTTGCTCGGCTGGAGAGAGTCTGCGTGAAAAAAAAGCACATGGGTGAGTTTTCTGGTCGGAATCTGACTGCTGCGATAACACAGCTCCTACGTGGAATCAGATGCATCAACCTCAAGGATGAACTGCTTCGTAGGATCAGGCTGGACCAAGATGGGGGCACTGGAAAAGAGTCTTTTTAATTTATTAAAGGCATCTTTGGCTTCAGAGGTCCATTGGAAAGTCTTCTTAACAGAAGTAAGAGCTGTGAGGGGTACAGCAGTCTGACTGTAGTTCCTTATGAACCTCCTGTAAAAATTTGCAAACCCAAGAAATCTCTGAAGTTGTTTGCGGTTTTCAGGTGTAGGCCACTCCAGAACTGTCTTTATCTTATCTTCTGATGGCTTCACCTGCCCGCCCTCGAGCACAAACCCTAGAAAGGTGACAGATTGTTGATGAAATTCACACTTTTCAGCCTTCACAAAAAGTTTATTTTCCAATAGCCTCTGAAGGACTAAACGAACATGTTTCCTGTGGTCTGAGAGGTTCTTGGAATAGATCAAAATATCATCGACGTAGACAAAGACAAAAACATTCAAAAAATCTCTGAGGACGTCTTTGACAAGAGCTTGGAAACAGGCAGGAGCGTTCGTGAGGCCAAAAGGCATGACCAGGTACTCAAACTGTCCTAAGGGGGTCTTAAAGGCTGTTTTCCATTCATCCCCTTCTCTTATTCTAAGGAGGTGGTAGGTGTTTCTTAGATCGAGTTTGGTAAACACTGTAGCACCCTGTACAGGTTCAAACACAGAAGCCAGTAAAGGTAGGGGATATTTATTTTTGACGGTAATCTGATTTAAACCTCTGTAGTCTATACAGGGGCGCAGGGAACCATCTTTTTTACCAACGAAGAAAAAAACAGCACAGAGAGGAGATGAAGATGGGCGAATTATTCCAGCAGCTAGAGACTCGTTGATGTACAGGTGCTGGTCATAAAATTAGAATATCATGAAAAAGTAGATTGATTTCAGTAATTCCATTTAAAAAGTGAAACTTGTATATTATATTCATACATTACATACAAACTCATATATTTCAGATGTTTATTTTGTTTAATTTTGATGATTACAAATGACAACAAATGAAAATCTCAAATTCATCATATCAGAAAATTAGAATATTGTGAAAAGGTTCAAAATTGATGGCCCCTGGTGCCACACTCTAATCAGCTAATTAACTCAAACCACCTGCAAAAGCCTTTAAATGGTCTTTCAGTCTAGTTCTATAGGCTACACAATCATGGGGAAGACTGCTGACTTGACAGTTGTCCAAAAGACGACCATCGACACCTTGCACAAGGAGGGCAAGACACAAAAGGTCATCGCTAAAGAGGCTGGCTGTTCACAGAGCTCAGTGTCCAAGCACATTAATAGAGAGGCGAAGGGAAGGAAAAGATGTGGTCGAAAAAAGTGTACAAGCAAGAGAGATAACCGCACCCTGGAGAGGATTGTGAAACAAAACCCCTTCAAAAATGTGGGGGAGATTCACAAAGAGTGGACTGCAGCTGGAGTGAGTGCTTCAAGAACCACCACACACAGACGTATGAAAGACATGGGTTTCTGCTGTTGCATTCCTTGTGTCAAGCCACTCTTGAACCACAGACAGCGTCAGAAGCGTCTTGCCTGGGCTAAAGAGAAACAGGACTGGACTGCTGGTGAGTGGTCCAAAGTCATGTTCTCTGATGAAAGTAAATTTAGCATTTCCTTTGGAAATCAAGGTCCCAGAGTCTGGAGGAAAAGAAGAGAGGCACTTCATCCACGTTGCTTGAAGTCCAGTGTAAAGTTTCCACAGTCAGTGATGGTTTGGGGTGCCATGTCATCTGCTGGTGTTGGTCCATTGTGTTTTCTGAGGTCCAGGGTCAACGCAGCCACATACCAGGAAGTTTTAGAGCACTTCATGCTTCCTGCAGCTGACCAACTTTTTGGAGATGCAGATTTCATTTTCCAACAGGACTTGGCACCTGCACACAGTGCCAAAGCTACCAGTACCTGGTTGAAGGACCATGGTATCCCTGTTCTTAATTGGCCAGCAAACTCTCCTGACCTTAACCCCATAGAAAATCTATGGGGTATTGTGAAGAAGAAGATGCAATACACCAGACCCAACAATTCAGAAGAGCTAAAAGCCACTATTAGAGCAACCTGGGCTATCATAACACCTGAGCAGTGCCACAGACTGATCGACTCCATGCCACGCCGCATTGCTGCAGTAATACAGGCCAAAGGAGGCCCAACTAAATACTGAGTGCTGTACATGCTCATACTTTTCATGTTCATACTTTTCAGTTGGCCAACATTTCTATAAATCCTTTGTTTTTATTGGTCTTCAGTAATATTCTAATTTTCTGATATGATGAATTTGAGATTTTCATTTGTTGTCATTTGTAATCATCAAAATTAAACAAAATAAACATCTGAAATATATGAGTTTGTATGTAATGTATGAATATAATATACAAGTTTCACTTTTTAAATGGAATTACTGAAATCAATCTACTTTTTCATGATATTCTAATTTTATGACCAGCACCTGTATTTCTCCATGGTTTCACGCTCTGGTTTGGAAATATTATATAATCTACTGCTGGGAAGAGGAGCTCCTGGTAGTAACTCTATGGCGCAGTCATATGGTCTGTGAGGTGGAAGAGTCGTTGCACTGACCTTACTGAAGACTGGTGCCAGATCATGATACTCGGGAGGAACAGAAGTAAGGTCAGGAGAGTCCATCTCCCCCCTACCTCTAGGGGACTGAATAGCAGGAGCAGCAGAACGAAGACAGGATTCATGACAGGAGGTTGACCAGGATTCTATGTGGCGTTCAGCCCAGTTGATATGGGGGTTGTGACGTTCCAACTACTCGAATCCAAGCACCAGGGGAGAGCAAGCTGAAGGAAACACAAAAAATGTAAGCGTCTCCCGATGGTTTCCAGAGATAAGCAGTTCTAGGGGTTGTGTCTGATGAGTGATTTGATGAAGCTTCTTTCCATCGATAGCCGATACTCTGAGAGGCTTAGTTAAAGGAACAGTCTCAATTTTAACTGCTGGACCAGGTCTGAATCAATCGGGTTTCTTTCACAGCCAGAGTCGATGAATGCAGATAAGGTGAGATTCTGATTAGAGAAGAACAGAGTTGCAGGCAATAACAAATGAGGAGTTTTCTCAGATTTTAGGTGGCCCGTCAGACTCCTCTCATCCTCTGACGGGCCCTGGCTTTTAATTTAGCTGGGCCTGAAGCAATAACATGACCAGTCTCACAACAATACAGACACAGTTTAGCCTTAAATCTCTGTTGCCTCTCTTCAGGGGATAGCCTAGTGTGTCCAACTTGCATGGGTGCGGCGTCCGTTCCCTCTGAGGAAGAGAAATGAGAGATTTGGACAGGCGCTGGGAGAGTCTGATTCTTAGACCTTGGCTTGGTACTGGGTTCTGAGGATCCAGAAAAAACAGACGCATCATTAAATGCAGGAGATGAAACAGAAAAATTCAGTTCTCTCAGGCCGCCTTGTAAGCTCACAAGGATGTTCATACAATATTTTGTTACACCAATTAAGTATTATTGAATTATTCTGGAACCAATTTCTTTAGTTATATTCAATGGTAAGAAATTTTGTCATGTTAAAGGGGGGTTTAAATCATGTGTCATCATGAGTATAGTATAGTAGTAGTTTATAGAATCATTCCTAGAAATCTGATGTCATCAGCTCCATTAAACTGTGACATGAGCCTGTTGTCCTGCAGGTGTTGCTTTGACCCATGTGATCCAGACCAGTAGAACCCAGTTCTTCAGATAAAGTTCAGTTGGATCCAACAGAACCATTTGAATCAGAATCAGAATCAGAATCGGGTTTATTTCCATTGTTAGCGAAGAAGTTCACAACTAGGAATTTTTTGTGGTACAGTCGTGCAACATGAAACATATATGAAATAGTAAATAAAATTATAAAAATCTCTAAAAACACTGGGGTATAAGGCATGCAAAAAATATACTAATATATACACTTAAGATAAAAATATGGATAAATATAAAAAGTAAAATGTACAAGGTAGTGCAAATAGAGGAGTGTGCAATACAGCAGTGTGAATGGCATGGGCAGGTTATGGAGTCTGACATATAGTGTTCATGAGTCTTATGGCAGAGGGGAAGAAGCTGTTTTTATGGCGGGAGGTTCTGGTCCGTATGGACCGTAGCCTCCTCCCTGAGGGGAGAGGTTCAAACAGTCTGTGTCCAGGGTGAGAAGGGTCAGCTGTGATGCGACCTGCACGCCTCCTGGTCCTGGAGACATACAGGTCCTGGAGTGATGGCAGCTTACAGCCGATCACCTTCTCAGCAGAGCGCACAATGCGCTGCAGTTGGTATCTGTCCCTGGCGGTGGCGCCAGCGTACCACACGGTGATGGAGGAGGTGAGGATGGACTCAATGATGGAGGTGTAAAACTGCACCAACATCCGGGTTGGCAGCTTAAGTTTCCTCAGCTGCCGCAGAAAGAACATCCTATGCTGGGCCTTCTTGACGAGAGTTCTTGAATGTTTCACTCTGGAACTTTAAACCTTCTGCTTCTCTGCAGCAGTTTGTGTTCAGAGCTTCTTCTTCTCTGGTTTTTATCTCAGAGTTTCTCACTGATTGATGTGATCTGAATAACAACATGTTTGTCTTTCAGAGTTCATTACCTCAGACAGAGAGCAGAACCTCCAGGATCCAGCGCTCTGTCTATGAGGAGTGACTGGTCCATAGGAAACCAACCAAACTTCAGAGCAGAACCTGGACCCTCAGACATAAGGTAAGGAACCAGATTCTAACTGATTCATGTGACTCCACAGAGATAGAACATCTAGATTCTGAACTGATAGATCTTCAGCATCTTAATCCAAGGTTGTTTTGTTTTTACTTTTAGCTTTAAGCTAAATAAACATGAAGGATGTCAGTCACTAAATCAGTAGAGTTTGAATGAAGGCCTGAGAATCAGTGATGGAGGAAAACAGGACAAAGAATCTGAGGCACAACCAGGTTCAGAGATGCTCTCTAAAGCTTCTGGACTGGGAACACTAGACCCAGTCTATATACTAAGTCCAGTTGATCCAATAGGCTGATGATCCAGCCAAAGGTTAAAAGGGAAAAGCAGAACAACAGGACTTTGGTCGTCCCTTTAGTTCTAAGGTTCTGGTTCAGAGTCCGGTCCTGTGTTCTGTTCTTCAATGACGGCCACATCAGCTCCTCAGACAAGATGAACGGCTTTGGTTCTGAAATCAGGGACCAGAATCTCTGCTCTCCACCTTCTCAGACTAGATGTGATCAATGGGTCAGTGTCCAGAACTTTCTGGGCTTTGTAGTACTAGTAGTTGCTACAACCTTAAACGTTAGTCATTGCATTAACTCAATTTATTTGATGACAGTTTTTCAATCCAATACATTTTTGCTAACTGAACCAAATCCATATGCATCTGTATGGTGTAAATTTATTCAGTCTGTTTAACACAATGTTTAAAAATACTTTTGAAATGAAATGAATACATACTGTCAAGTTATTTCTATGTTGTGGAGCTTCCCCAGTTAAGAATGGATGGATGAATTGATGCAGACTTTCATCAACCGTGCTTTCACTCAAAGGACCAGGCCGTTTTCCTTCATTTGTTTTCCATGTATTTAGTGAGTGTCAGGACATATTCACAATTAGTTCAGAAGCAAAACCTTTAAACAAACCCAAAAGAAAAAAGAATCACTAATTTGTACTTTTGGTTTACATAAATTAATTCCATTCAATCTACAAAGGAAATGATAAACTATATCAACAATATTAACCAACCCACTGTGAATCAAACCCACTAAGTAATTAAAGTCAAATGAACATGTAACTAAAGTTCTTTAACTTTAAAATATGTTTCAAATAAATATTTTTAATTACATTTTTACATACATTTAAATATACAAATACTACTTTTTTCCATATTAGTCATAAATATATGTTTTATTAATATAAATAGCTTAAAGTTGTTATTGATCTGAATCTGATGCTAAATAAATTAATATTTGAACTTAACACCCAAATCCACTTTTCAACAAAATCTGATGTCATCAGCTCCATTAAACTGTGATATGACCCTGTTGTCCTGCAGGTGTTGCTTTGACCCATGTGATCCAGACCAGTAGAACCCAGTTCTTCAGATAAAGTTCAGTTGGATCCAACAGAACCATTTGAATGTTTCACTCTGGAACTTTAAACCTTCTGCTTCTCTGCACCAGTTTGTGTTCAGAGCTTCTTCTTCTCTGGTTTTTATTTCAGAGTTTCTCACTAATTGATGTGATCTGAATAACAACATGTTTGTCTTTCAGAGTTCATTACCTCAGACAGAGAGCAGAACCTCCAGGATCCAGCGCTCTGTCTATGAGGAGTGACTGGTCCATAGGAAACCAACCAAACTTCAGAGCAGAACCTGGACCCTCAGACATAAGGTAAGGAACCAGATTCTAACTGATTCATGTGACTCCACAGAGATAGAACCTCTAAATTCTGAACTGATTGATCTTCAGCATCTAAATCCAAAGTTGTTTTGTTTTTCTTTTAGCTTTAAGCTAAATAAACATGAAGGATGTCAGTCACTAAATCAGTAGAGTTTGAATGAAGGCCTGAGAATCAGTGATGGAGGAAAACAGGACAAAGAGTCTGAGGCACAACCAGGTTCAGAGATGCTCTCTAAAGCTTCTGGACTGGGAACACTGGACCCAGTGTATATACTAAGTCCAGTTGATCCAATAGGCTGATGATCCAGCCAAAGGTTAAAAGGGAAAAGCAGATCAACAGGACTTGGGTCATCCTCCTAGTTATAAGGCTCTGGTTCAGAGTCTGGTCCTGTGTTCTGTTCTTTAATGACGGCCACATCAGCACATCAGATGAACAGCTTTGGTTCTGATATCAGGGACCAGAACCTCTGCTCTTCACCTTTTCAGGCTAGATGTGATCAATGGGTCAGTGTCCAGAACTTTCTGGGCTTTGTAGTACTAGTATTTGGTACACCCCTAAACATTAGTCATTGGATTTACTCAATTTATTTGATGATAGTTTTTCTATCCAATACATTTTTGCTAACTGAACCAAATCCACATGCATCTGTATGGTGTAAATTTATTCAGTCTGTTCAACACAATGTTTAAAAATACTTTTAAAATGAAAATATTACATACTCTCAAGTTATTTTCTATCTTGTGGAGCTTCCCCAGTTAAGAATGGATGGATGAATTGATGCAGACTTTCATCAACCGTGCTTTCACTCAAAGGACCAGGCCGTTTTCCTTCATTTGTCTTCCATGTATTTAGTGAGTGTCAGGACATATCCACAATTAGTTCAGAAGCAAAACCCTTAAACAAACCCAAAAGAAAAAAATATCACTAATTTTTATTTTTAGTTTACATAAATTAATTCCACTCAATCTACAAAGGTAATGATAAACTATATCAACAATACTAAGCAACCCACTGTGAATCAAACCCAATAAGTAATTAAAGTCAAATGAACATGTAACTAACCTTAAAGGGAAAAGCCTTTTTTTTTTTTAATTGTGCCCTCTATTTTACGTGATTACATCATGTTCTAATCACCCCAATGAGTTTTGTGTCATTTGGAGCTGTTCTGAAGATATTCCGTTAGGTTATATCCAGGTAACATCTTCCTTGAGGCAACGACTTGAAGGCACAAACTAAATTTTTCATAATTTATTCTTAATGGTATGCCAGCATTTATAACATGTAGGTGAATCACTGTCCCCAAGACATCTGCGGTTATAATTTTTTATACTTATATTTTTAAAACAAAGCGGCACATGTACGACGTCATCCACGTGGCGGACTGGAGTTGTGACAGGCAGCCCGGGCCACAGGCGGCTACGCTTTACCCCTTCTATTCATTTGGCTAGCTAATCTGAATAGTTCGATTCCATTTGGAGAGCGAGATCATCTGTGGTAGTAGCACTAAACATCTGCCAGGCATGTGAGAAAAACTAGCAGCAGTTCAGCGGACAGGAAGAATGTATGGTAGCCGGCGCGCACGGATGACGTCCTACACACAGCACTTTGTTTTTAAAAGAGATAAATTTAAAAAAATATAACTGCGGATGTCTAGGGGACAGTGATTCGCCTACATGTTATGAATGCTATCCTACCATAAATAATAAATTATGAACAGTTTAGTTTGTGCCTTCAACTCGTTGCCCATAGGAAGACGTTACTTGGATATGACCTAACGGAATATCTTCAGAACGGCTCCAAATGACACAAAACTCATATGGGTGAGTAGAACATGATGTAATAACGTACAATCAAGGGCCCAAAGTAAAAAAAAACGGCGTTACCTTTTAAGTTCTTTAACTTTAACATACGTTTCAAATAAATATTTACAATTACATATTTACATTTATTTAAATATACAAATACTACTTTTTTATATAAGTCATAAATATGTATTTTATTAATATAAATAGCTTAAAGTTGTTATTATTTTTAATATGATGCTAAATGAGTTAATAACTGGACTTTACACTTAAATCCACGTTTCAACAAAACAACAATCAGTTGAATCATAAAATCAATCATGGCCAGACTTCAGCACCACAATCCACCTCTGCAGTGCAGGTGTTGCTGTTAATGGGAGATAATGGGCCGGCAGAGCTGGAGGCCCCACTGGAGGAACATAGCTAACCTTGCAGTCTGATCTCATCAACAATACAGCTTGTCTTAGGGCTGCCTCTCCACCCGTCTACAGATTCATCCAGATCTGCACAACTCCACCAGGATCTCTGATCATAGAATCCCCAAACTTCCGTCCTCTTTGTCTGGCTTTCTCTTCAGCACTTTTTTTTTCATTGTCCATCTCTCTTTTAGGTCTGTGTGAAACACAGTAGGCATGTCTTTTTTTATTTTTTCCCCTCACTTGACTTCACACATAAACCAAAGTTGAATACATTTGATGGGTTCAACTTAATAAAATGTAATTGTGTTGACCTGTATTTTTCCCTGCATTGAATTGAGTAATGTTCAAATAACTAACAGAGATAGAGCTGTCTGTGATCATGGATCTTGGCCCCAAGATAACTGATGGTTTCATCTGTGTGGAACTAACTCCACTCTCTGTTTTAGATTTACAATGACCTGCTATGTGGCTCCTTCTCTGGAAAAAGTGATCAAACTACACTACCATTCAAAAGTTTGGGGTCACCCAAACAATTTTGTGTTGTCCTGAAAAGTCACACTTAATCACCCCCATACGTTGTGAAATGAATAGAAAATAGAGTCAAGACATTGACATGGCTAGAAATAATGATTTGTATTTGAAATAAGATTTTTTTTACATCAAACTTTGCTTTCGTCAAAGAATCCTCTATTTGCAGCAATTACAGCATTGCAGACCTTTGGCATTCTAACTGTTAACTTGTTAAGGTAATCTGGAGAAATTGCCCCCCACGCTTCCAAAGCAGCTCCCACTAGTTGGATTGGTTGGATGGACACTTCTTGCGTACCAAGCGGCTCCCACATCAGCTCAATGGGGTTCAGATCTGGTGACTGCGCTGGCCACTTCATTACCCATAGAATACCAGCTGCCTGCTTCTGCTCTAAATAGTTCTTGCACAATTTGGAGGTGTGTTTAGGGTCATTGTTCTGTTGTAGGATGAAATTGGCTCCAATCAAGCACTGTCCACTGGGTATGGTATGGTGTTGCAAAATGCAGTGATAGCCTTCCTTATTCAGAATCCCTTTTACCCTGTACAAATCTCCCACCTTACCAGCACCAAAGCAACCCCAGACCATCAGATTACTTCCACCATGCTTATGTGATGCCCACTAAGATGTTATCACATTTGTGCTAGTTTTTTTTGTAATTTTATAATTAATCTTTAAGTATTTGTTTGGGGGTAACCAACCTATTTTCACCATCCTTACACTGAAGCGTTTTAGATGGGTATCGGGAGTAATTGTGGAATTTGCCAGCAGGGGGTGGTGTTAACATTATACTGGCTCCGGGTGGCTTTACGTCAGTCTGCTCCGCTCTGCAGCTCTTCCTCTTTCTGCTGAGCAAGTTGAGAAACAGACTCAGAGATTGCCTGTCTAATTTATTTCTCCTGTTTCCAGAGAGAGCATATAAGCTGGTTACCTGGTGCCAGTCCGGTAACTGTATCACTTAACAGATGGTGTCAGGCGTTCTTCCAGAATCTTTTTATTTCTTCTGTGTCTCACAAATGTTCTTCTTTGTGATCCAAACACCTCAAACTTGAATTTAATCATTCACAACACTTTTTTCCAGTCTTCCTCTGTCCAATGTCTGTGTTCTCTTGCCCATCTTAATCTTTTTCTTTTATTGTTAGCAAGTCTCAGATACGGCTTTTTCTTTGCCACTCTGCCCTGAAGCCCATAAACCCGCAGCCGCCTCTTCAATGTAGATGTTGACACTGGTGTTTTGCGGGTACTATTTCATGAAAATGTCAGTTGGGGACCTGTTCCTCAAACTAGAGACTCTAATGTACTTATCCTCTTGCTCAGTTTTGCAACGCGGCCTCCCACTTCTTTTTCTACTGTGGTTAGAGTCTGTTTGTGCTGTCCTCTGAATGGAGTACTACACATCCTTGTAGGAAATCTTCAATTTCTTAGCAATTTCTCGCATGGAATAGCCTTCTTTTCTAAGAACAGCTCTCTTTCTAAGAATAGACTATCGAGTTTCAGATAAAATTTCTCTTTTTCTGGCCATTTTGAGCATTTATTTGACCCCACAAAAATGATGCTCCAGAAACTCAATCTGCTCAAAGGAAGGTCAGTTTTGTAGCTTCTTTAACGAGCTAAATTGTTTTCAGATGTGTGAACATGATTGCACAAGGGTTTTCTAATCATCAATTAGCCTTCTGTGTCATGTTTGTTTTAAGGTTTCTAACCCACATGCAGAACACACGGACTCTGGGAAAAAGTTCAACAGTTTATTGTTTGACACAATGAGAATAAAGCACTGATTCTGGGGGTTATCAGGTCCAGGACTGGTCGCGACTGGTTTCTCTGCAGAGGGGGACAGAATGGTTAGCAGATGTCCAGGTATCTTTGCTGGTAGAATGAGTGTAGGTCTGTACCTGTTCTGAGGTTTGAGCAGAGCGGCAGAGGGGGGGAACCAGGAGGGTCCAGAGGCTGTCGGCAGGCAGAGGGCAAGGCAGAGGATGAGCTTGGTTTGTGATCTTGCAGATTCGGATCTGTGTTTCTCTTTCAGTTTCTTCTGAGAGCGGGCAGGCAGGTATCTAACAGATTTGACTTCCAGAGTTCTTCAGAGATCAGACAGGCTGGTTTCAGACTGAGAAACTCTTCCAGAGTTTCAGGGTTCAGACGGGTTCTTCCATAACTGGCAAACACTCTGGCGCCGGAGTGTTGCTCTGCCTCTCCTTAAATGCTGGTCTCCTGATGAGCAAACGAGCCGCAGGTGTGAAGTCTGCTCCAGCTCCAGGAGACCTAGAACACCCTCTGTAGGAGAAAGGTGGACAGACCTCCAGATCCCAACATTCTGAGCCAATGAGCAAACACATTGTACCATTAAAACACTGGAATGATTGTTGCTGGAAATGGGCCTCTATACACCTATGTAGATAATGCACCAAAAACCACACATTTGCAGCTAGAATAGTCATTTACCACATTAGCAATGTATAGGGTGTATTTATTTAAAGTTAAGACTATGGTAAAAGTTATCTCCATTGAAAAGAACAGTGCTTTTGCTTTAAAAATGACATTTCAGTGTGACCCCAAACTCTTTAATGATAGTCTATTTAAGGAAGTAATTAGCTCTGAGGTCTGCAAAGTAACCTACAATCCTTGAGTTCACTATAAGGCCGCCTTGTAAGCTCACAAGGCGGCCTTATAGTGGACATCAATAATTTTAGGTTACTTTGCATCATACATAAAATGTTCATACATATTTTGTTATATCAATTAAATATTATTACATTATTCTGGAACCCAATTTCTTTAGTATGTTTAATGGTAAGAAATTGTGTCATCTTAAAGGGGGGCTTAAATCATGTGTCACCATGAGTATAGTTTAGTAGTAGTTTATAGAATCATTCCTAGAAATCTCATCAAATCAGCTCCATTAAATTGTGACATGAGCCTTTTTTCCTGCAGGTGTTGCTTTGACCTATGTGATCCAGACCAGTAGAACCCAGTTCTTCAGATAAAGTTCAGTTGGATCCAACAGAACCGTCTGAATGTTTCCCTCTGGAACTCTAAACCTTCTGCTTCTCTGCAGCAGTTTGTGTTCAGAGTTTCTTCTTCTCTGATTTTTTATGTCAGAGTTTCTCCTTGATTGATGTGATCTGAGTAACATTATGTTTGTGTTTCAGAGGCCAGAACCACAGACAGAGAGCAGAATCTCCAGGATCCAGCTGTCTGTCTATGAGGAGTGACTGGTCCATAGGAGGACAAGCAGACTTCAGAGCAGAATCTCGACGATCCAGCAGTCCATCTATGAGTTGTGACTGGTCCATAGGAAGACAAGCAGACTTCAGAGCGGAATCTCGACGATCCAGCTGTTCAACTATGAAGAGTGACTGGTTCATAGGAAGACAAGCAGACTTCAGAGCAGAATCTCGACGATACAGCTGTCCATCTATGAGTTGTGACTGGTCCATAGGAAGACAAGCAGACTTCAGAGCGGAATCTCGACGATCCAGCTGTTTAACTATGAAGAGTGACTGGTTCATAGGAAGACAAGCAGACTTCAGAGCAGAATCTCGACGATCCAGCTGTCCATCTATGAGGAGTGACTCGTACATAGAAAAACCACCAGACTTCAGAGCAGAACCTGGACTCTCAGACATGAAGTATGAAACAAGTTTCTAACTGATTGATGTGACTCTGCAAAGATAGAACCTCTAGAATCTGAAGTGGTTGATCTTCCTGGTTTGGACTTTGTTCTGGTGGTTTTTTATAAGCATCCAACAGATTACTGACGGGTCCAAAGTCATTTTCTCTCCTTCCAGCCTAATAAATTCCAGAAGTTGTTCAAATGTTAATTTAAATGAGCAGAGATAGAGACTCAATGTGACATGAATCAGCAGAATGGTTCCGTTTCCTTCCAGCAAGTGGAACTTGGCTGTAGAAGCAGCCCTCACTGCAGCAGGCTCCTTGGTGTCTTTGTCCACACAGTCCTACCTGTGGAGCTGCAGGTTGGGTCCATTTAGAGCTTCATCATGTTGCTCAGAAACCAGAACTCTCCCAGCAGCTTTTTATCTGCAGCTCTGTGCCGTCTCTTTCCTCCCAGCATCAAACAAACCTTAGCGTCACTCTGCCTCTGATCCAGTTCAGGTTCTATTGGGGTTCTGGGTGGTTCAGTGGTAGAGTAGATGCTCCATGTTCCGAGGCTATAGTCCCCGATCCCATTTTCTTGGTTTGGTTCCTGTTCTGGCTCCATTAGCTGCATGTCCTTCCATTTCTCTCCACCCTCATACCTGTCAGATTCAAGGCCGGCTAAACACAGGGGCCGAAGGGCCAACGGGGCCCACCTCAGAGCTGATCTGCTGGAAGACAAAACTTTCTCATCTCTCTCTCTGCTCTGCTCCTTGCCGTGAGTTCAGCAGAACCGTCAGCTTTCATTCATGCTGCAGTTTATCTGAGGAACTCAGAATAAATATTTCATCGATCATTTTAGTTAATCTCAGCAGTAAGGGTATAGAAACACTAAAAGCTCATCTGCAGCTCCCAGTTTGAACTAGTTTCAGTGGTCCAGACTGACTCTGTGCTCCAGATCAGCTCACTGGCTGAACTCCTACTCCCTCCACAGTTTATCTAGAATGAGCTTCATCTTCAACTTAATCAAATGAAGGGTCTCAGAACAAAGCCGGAAGGATCAATCAGGTTAGAGATACGGGAATGGCTCCCAGTGAAACCAGTTCCTTCTAATTGGGAGAATCATTTATCCCATTTTGAATCATTAATAGACAGAAACTAGTCAGGTAGCAAAGAAGCGGTTCTGACCCAGCTTCTGGTCCTCTGTTTGTGTTGGACCTTCATGAACATCTTCATCTTGAGTAGGAGAGCCCCACCCTGTTGGTAGTTAACCTTTCAGTGATGAAGAAATGTCTTTACAGATGGAGGAAGAGGAGCGAACCTCAGCATGGAGAAAGACCCAGACCTGGAGCTGGACCGCTGACAGCCAATCAGAGCAGCTGTGCAGCAGGTAAGACTGAACTTCAGAGCTTCCTTCTATCATCTCTGTTGAACCAATTCTGTCTTTAGGTGGATTTGGAGTTTCAAGCTTTTCAAAGTCTTTCTGGGATCCATTATCCAACTAAATCATTGTATTTCCATTTACTGTAAATCTACAAAGTCTGTGTTAATTCCAACAACCTATTGGGTTTGCTTTGAACTGGTTCTGTTTTCAGCCCTTTGGGCTAAATGCATTAAAACTAAACATCTCCTTAAAGCTGAAGGTCATTTTGATGCATGAAAACCAAAAGGTGGAGAAAGCAACTTGCTGCTCTGCTTTTCTAAGAAGAGGGAAGGAAAGTCTGAGAGGCAGAAACCTGTATTTCCTCTGACAATAGATCACTGATTACAGGATAGATATTTATATTTAATGGAAATATAATGGAATTATTGTAAAGATCTTCTAAAGGACCAAATCAGTCCCATGTCATTTCCAGTCTCTAATTATTCTTTATAAACATCTAATCCTGTCTCTGAGTGTGAAATGCTGTTTAACCCTTTCAGCCCAGAATGTTTTAGGAGCAATTTCTGCCTTAAATTACATATCTGATTAAATTACACTTAACACCAAGATGGAAGTGTGCAAAAATATTATTTCTGACAGAAAGTCATTACAGAATATTTTTGAAGTAATTTTTATCATAATCAACATTTTTAAGCATAGTCAGAACACAGACATTTTGAGGGTTTTCGACTAATTAGTTTCAAAGATAAACACTGCAAAACATCATGAAAGTCTCATTGAAATTTTTAAAGCCTCAGACTGTATAGACCCACATCTTGACTATAACTGCAGCTAATTTGGACTAAATTGAATGAAGCATATATGTCCCCCAAAGATTTTAGTGAACAGTGTGGCAGGCAGACCTGGGATTTCACCACAGCTGTGCCAAAATGTGTCCAAAATGTTCTAAATGTGTTTTTACCTCATAAATAGGATACTGGTCAAATGAAGGAGATATTTCCAGGGTATGGCTACTTCTGCATATGAAAAAGTGTTTTTCATTATATTTACCCTTATTGTCATCATAATGTAGTGTTCTGACTCCTGTCAGTTTGTATCTGTTGCCCCTTTGTGGTGGTTTTCTGTTACTTAAGTTTTAATGGCCAGGCTTTTTCACTGTGCATACCACTGATTCCTATTTATTCACTGGATTGCTGATTGCCCGAAAAAAGTGAAGCCACCATCCACCATGCTGGTACTCCCCACTCCCACAGAGACGCGCAGTAAAATGCCTACGTTTGTAGCATTTAGTTGCAAAAACAAGCTGTTTGTCGGCTGTGTAATTTCACCATCAGTCAATTTGCTAACCAAGTAAATCTATATATACACCGATGTATCCTATAGTAGGGTATGTAGTGTAACATTAGTCTGGCTATTTGAAAGATATTGAATGAGTTAGCCAATGACATTGTGTCCATCTGTAAAAAATAGAAAGTAGAGTAAATAGAAAGTAATTCATGTTTCTGTCAGCATTTCTTCATTTTATCTGCTTTAGAACTCAGATCCTGACAGTGAACAAATACAGGGCAGAAAACAGAGGCAGAAATATGTTGTCTGACAATTTAACAAGATTCTGGTTCTGAGGACAGATCAGATTGTTTAGAATCACATAGTGTGAAGGAAGAGACCTTCTAATGATAACACCTCCTAATGTTCTAGATGGTTTGGTTCCATCTTTATCACTATATCAGTTTATTTTTCATTCAGTCGTCTTTTCTTCTGTGTTTCAGCAGATGTTGGTTTGCAGGAGGTTCTAGAGGAACATAAGATCAGCCTGAGGAGGAGATATGAATGTGTTACTGAAGGAAGTGATGAAACAGGAGGTAGAACCCTCCTCAACAGGATCTACACTGATCTCTACATCACCGAGGGACAGAGTGAAGAGGTTAATACCCAACATGAGGTGAAGCAGCTGGAGAGAGCTTCCAAGATCCAGAACCTCCATGATTCTTCAATCAGGTGCCAGGACATCTTCAAAGCCTTCCCTGACCAACATGGACCCATCAGAGTGGTTCTGACCAACGGCGTCGCTGGTGTTGGAAAAACCTTCTCAGTGCAGAAGTTCACTCTGGACTGGGCAGAGGGCTTGGAGAACCAAGATGTCAGTGTGGTGATTCTGCTTTCCTTCAGGGAGCTGAACCTGATCAGAGATCAGCAGCACAGTCTTCTCACGCTGCTCTATGCTTTCCATCCAACCCTCCAGAAGCTCCCAGGAGAGATGCTGGCTTTCTGGAAGCTTCTCTTCATCTTTGATGGCCTGGATGAAAGCAGACTTTCTCTGGACTTCAACAATGGGTTGCTTGTTTCTGACGTCACACAGAAGTCATCAGTCAAAGTTCTGCTGATAAACCTCATCAAGGGGAACCTGCTTCCCTCGGCTCTGGTCTGGATAACTTCCAGACCTGCAGCAGCCAATCAGATCCCTCCTTCCTGTGTTTCCAGGGTAACAGAAGTACGAGGCTTCACTGACGCCCAGAAGGAGGAGTACTTCAGGAGGAGGTTCAGTGATGAAGAGATGTCCAGCAGGATCATCTCCCACATCAGGACCTCCAAGAGCCTCCACATCATGTGTGGGATCCCAGTGTTCTGCTGGATCACTTCTACGGTTCTGGAGAACCTGTTGACAGCAGAACAGAGAGGAGAGCTGCCCAAGACCATGACTGACATGTACTCACACTTCCTGCTGTTCCAGACCAGGAGTAAGAAGAACAAGTACCATGAAGGACATGAGACGAGTCCACAGGAGCTGATGGAGGCTGACAGGGAAGTTCTCCTGAAGCTGGGGAGGCTGGCGTTAGAACATCTGGAGAAAGGAAACATCATGTTCTACCAAGAGGACCTGGAGCAGTGTGGTCTGGATGTCACAGAGGCCTCGGTGTACTCAGGAGTTTGTACAGAGATCTTCAAAAGAGAGACCATGATCTTCCAGAAACCGGTCTACTGCTTTGTTCATCTGAGCATCCAGGAGTTTCTGGCAGCAGTCTACATGCTCCACTGTTTCACCAGCAGGAACAGAGAGGTGGTGAAGAACTTCCTGGGAGAAACATACAGAGAAACGTCAATGGAGAGATCAATGGGAAAAATCTTCAAAAAAACATATCTGAAGGACTTCATGAAGAGAATCATGAAGAAATCCCTCAGGAGTCCAAATGGCCACCTGGACCTGTTTACTCGCTTCCTTCATGGCCTCACTGTGGAGTCCAACCACAAACTCTTAGACTTTCTACTGGGTCAGATGGAGAACAGTCCAAGAACCATCCAGAGAGTCATCAACAATCTGAAGAAGATGAACACTGATATAATCTCTACTGACAGAAGCATCAACATCTTCCACTGTCTGATGGAGATGAAGGACCTCTCACTATTTCAGGAGATCCAACAGCTCCTGAAATCAGGAAAGAAGCTCTCAGAGATCCAGGGCTCAGCTCTGGCCCACATGCTGCAGATGTCAGAGTTTGTGGATCAGTTGGACTTGGAGAAGTACAACATATCAGAGAGAGGACGACGTATCCTGATTCCAGCTGTGAGGAACTGCAGAAAGGCTCGGTGAGTCGTCTTCATGGGGTGATGCTGATTCATTTCTATTGTCCTCCTGGTTCGTCTTCATGGTTCTAGTTGCTTCTGGACATTTTTGCTCTATAATTTCCTCCTTCATCCTTTGGACCATTTCAACCATTCAAACATCTAAATGTGTCATGATGGGTTTTGGTTCCTAGCCCATATGCAGAAACACAACCAGAAGCAGGGGAAAAGTTCAGAGGTTTAATCAATAAAGAGCATAATAACAGGACAGGGGTAATCAGGTCCAGGGCTGGTCATGACTGGGTTTACTGTTCTGGAGATTGAGCAGAGCGGCAGAAGGGGGAACCAGGAGGGTTCAGAGGCTGACGGCAGGCTGAGGGCTTGGTGGAGGCTGAGCTTGGTCTAGAGCTTGCAGATCACTAGGTTTGAGTTTCCCTTCCAGATACTACAGAGAGCAGGCTGGCAGGTCCTTGACAGGTTTGGTTCTCCAGGGTTCTTCTGAGATCAGAGTGACAGATTACCAGGTTTTAGATTGGTCCAACCTGGGAAGCAGAGAAGACAAAATGGATCAGGTTCAGGTTCAGGACTCGTAGTCAGGAGACTAGACAGACAGGTCCTCATGGTCCTCAGCCCACTTAAGTACTGGTCTCCTGATGAGCAGATGAGGAACAGCTGGTGAAGTCAGCTCCAGCTTCAGGAGATCCAATACGCCCTCTGGTGGAGAAAAGGTAGACAGAACCCCAGATCCCAACAGTAACACAAACCCCCAGGAAGGGATCCTTGGCGCCCTCTGGTGGGCAAGCCTCAGGATCCCAACAAAACATTCATCTCCTCCCGGACAGCTCTGCTGGAGCTTTTAGTGTTTAGAGATTTTGATCACTTTAAAAATATTCTACTTTGGATCACTTTTCATCTTCCATTGAAATAATAGAAAACCTTCAGAATGTAGAAAATCTTAGACATAGACAGATTTATTTTTTCATTATGTATACACGAATGTAAACAAAAAGGAATTTTGCTTAAAACAGCTTTAGATAATTTTAATTTTTTAAATTGCAGCCTTGGAAAAACTTTAATAAACACATTAAAAAATAGTATAAAATAGTATAAAAAAGTAGAAAATCAGTGTTTTCTCAGAATTCACCATTTTGATCTGTTTGATTGTTTTTATAAAATCCCTGTTTAGCTTTAATGGAAACTTGAACCATTCAGATCGATCCCTGCATTGCTACTGTTGCCATGGAGACAAGTTGTTTGGATCCAGAACCAACTTTTCCTCCTTTCACAGATTTCCCTCTGAGTTTGTAAATTAGAGCCAAAATGTGTTGATTTGTCTGGTTTCAGAAAGTGTCATTTCTGTAGGAGCCCTAGATTCTGTCAAATCCTCCCAAAGCTCTGAGAACTCTGCTTCCAGAGTTTGGAACCATTTTCCTCATCAACACTTCATCTGCAGCCTTTGTTGAAGCTGTTAGATGTCGTCCATAAAGACCTGCAGAGACATGAGCTTTAACCCTTTAGACATTCCAGCCTCTTCTAATTACTGGGAGAACTTTCACTGCTTTCTCATGAAAAATGCTGCTTGACCCAAACGCTCTGTCTCCTCCCAGAGGTTTGGGCCTTGATATGAAGAGCAGATGTTCATCAGATGATGACATCACTGTTTGCTCATCATGTTTTAGTCTTTGTTTATCGTCCAGATTGTCTGATTTCATTAGAAGTGACTTTATTTCTCCTCTAATCACAGACTTGGTGGTTTTTCTCTCAATGAGGCTGACTGTGAAATTGTGGCTTCAGCTCTGAACTCCAACCTTCATCTGACTGAAGTGATAATAGATGAGATCAGAGGAGAGGAAACGTTTGGAGACACTGGAATGAAGCATCTGTGTGAAATACTGGCGAGTTCAATCTGCAAAGTGAAGAAACTGAGGTGGGTCATGTCTGTTTATTCAATCATCATCAAATATTGAACGTTATTTACCTGTTGTTCAAACTTTAAAAGGTTTTGTTGTGATGGAAAAAAATTGTAGAACTAGTGAAGTTATGTTGAATCATGAAGATATTTCAGTTTGATTTGGGAAAGATTCTGACGGCTAGATTAGATAAGATGGCTTTATTTCTCATTTCTTATCCATATCTTCACATCTAGAATGGTGTTTGGTTCCTCTGGAGTAGAACCAGAACCACAAACATGTTGGAACAATTAAAATGAAAAAGAATGTAATAACATCATAGTTGCTATGGGAACAAACTTCCAGCAGATTCTGTGCTCCATGGATTCTAGGGGTGTTTTATTGTTACGTCCTGAATTGTTTTAAACATTAATTGCAGATCACATTGTGTGTGTGGTGACGGCGTTCCTAATAAAAATATGGGCTCATATTGACGTCATTATAATGAATTGTTGCACATTACAATGATCAGCATTAAGGTATAATGAAGCTGAAAGCACACACTTCATCCAAATTATGTCAAACTAAACTCAACAGGCTTTTTATTTTCAGACAGCTTCTTTGGTGAGTCTCTGATATCGGTCAATCAGTTGTTAGTTGGCTGTAACAAATGTCCCTGAGGTTTGTTGACAAAGTCTCTCTGGGACGGCCTGACATTGCCGTTGTCATGGGGATTTAGACACAGAGTAACCTTTGCTGCTTTGGCATCATTTGAATTTCTACGATTCTGATTCGTTGTTTCGATTTTGGTTCCTATCGATTTTCGATTCTGATTCTTTTAAGAGGAAGGATCATAAAAGTTTCCATGTTATAAATTAGCTGCTAACCAGATTTCTGTCTGGATGAAATAATCTCTACTTGTCAATGAACTTTTCTTCCTTGAACATCTCACTTTGAACATTAAAATAAATGATCTCATAGTTATTTTCATCCAATATATAAATATCAAAACCTCTGAACTGTAAGATAATCTGATGAATTTTATTTTTACAGTTACATTTTCACATGGAGCTTTATTGTTTAAAACCTCATTAAAAAACATTTCCACTTCCGGCAGCGCCATGTTCGTGTAAGGACGCAAAGCTCTAAGCTCTGCTGTTAAACCAACGTGCCAAACGACTTTTAAAATAATTTCGGCAAAAAATATGCCCAACAACACAGCAAAGACAAGTGCTACCGACAGGCTATCCAGATATCAGTACAGAAACAAAGAAGGAGCTGAAAAATCGCCTGAAACAACCGGAGCTAACAAACCTGCTAAGTCTGTGGCAGCTAGCTCTAACATAGTTCCAGAAGCTGCAGTTAAAAATATGGAGAAGATGCTTCAGGCTATCGCCGAATCTACCTGAGAAATACAGGGGGAAATACAACAGATGAGGATAGAGGTGAATGAGTTTAAGGGACAAACTAAGGAATCATTCACAAAACTTGAAACATCAGTTAAAGGTCTGAGCGCACAGCTAACGAAGCTGGAAAATAGGGTAGTCGACGCTGAAGAACGTATTGTAACCACGGAGGAAACCACTGCAGTTCATGGAAAAACGATCTGCTTCCTATTGCAACGTGAGGCTGAACTTATGGAACGATGCGAGGACCTTCAGAACCCGGAGAGGAGACAGAACTTAAGACTGTATCAGGTTCCCGAAGGGAGAAAGAGTCCATCAATGCTTCTCAGCTTAGATGCTGAGAAAGCATTCAATAGACTGGACTGGACATTTTTGGAGGAAACATTGGCTCACATGGGCTTTAATGAAACTTTCATAAGTTGGATTGGAGTGTTCTATGTGAACCCTCGATCGAGAGTCAGAGTTAACGGCCGATGCTCTGATTTCTTTAGTCTGGGACGAGGGACAAGGCAAGGGGATGCACTTTTGCCAGTTTTGTTTGCTCTTAGCATTGAACCCCTCGCAGAATTAATCAGAAGCAACCCCCTCATAGCAGGAATAAAAGAAGAGAATGGATGTCAACACAAAATAGCGCTCTATGCGGACGATATTTTATTGTTTATTGAAAATCCCGCCCAGTCACTCCAAGCTCTCCTACAAAAACTTCATGAATATGGTATAGTATCAGGTAATAAAGTTAATCATGGCAAATCAGAAGCAATGATGCTATCTGGGACTTGGCCTAGCAAGCGTGATGATATGGTTTCCTTACGCAGATCTGACCAGGGCTTCAGATATCTAGGGGTTATGCTCACTCCCCAAATAACACAGCTCTATTAGACAAATTATAATTTTTTTTTTCAATATTTAGAAATGAACTGACGAGATGGGATGTGCTACCACTATCCCTTTTGGGCAGAGTAGAAGCGGTTAAAATGAATCTGTTTCCCAGACTCTTGTTCCTGTTTTAGTCTCTCCCAGTTGGAATCCCAACATCCGCCTTTAATATGCTGGATAGGCTTATATCCAAATCTATATGGCAAAATAGGAGGCCAAGAGTGAGGCTTAAATCACTTATGCTTGGGAAAAACAGGGGTGGACTCAACCTCCCGAATATGAAGTACTATTTTTGGGCAGCACAGTTAACAGCAGTAGTAGCTTGGATAAACAATGATACAGAAACAGGATGGGTAAGCATAGAGCAGAACTGTATGCCGACCATAGCCCTACCTTCTATAGTGTTTTTGAGCAAGCAATCTCAGAGGAAATTGGAAATAAAAAAATGTATGGGTGAAGGACACCTTAAAAATATGGTCAGCGGTCCAAAAGAGGATTAGAGGGGCACCTGCTCTATCCCGAGCTCTGCAGATTTGGGGAAATCCAGGCTTCCCTTCTTCAAAAGTAGATGCCACTTTTAAAAGATGGGCAGACAGAGGCCTAAAGGTGATTGACCGACTGTTCTGTGACAGTGGCTTACAGCCATTTTCATATCTTCAATTGAAATTCCTTATACCCCAAAATGATATGTTCAGGTTTTTTCAGATAAGGCATTACATCATAAACCATGAAGACTGAAATGCAATTAAAAATGCTCCAACAAATATAGAAACTTACTTTATTAATGTAACTAAATATCAGCTACCCAGCAAAAAGCATGTCTCCCATATCTATAAAAATTTATTATTGGATACACGGGATAATACTTTTAATGTGAAAAGCAAATGGGAACTGGAATTAAACACTATAATTGAGGATGGGGAATGGGAAACAATATGTATTGGATGTCATAAGGGTATTAAAAGCAACACCTGGAAGGAATTTGACTGGAAGATGAAGACAAGGTTCTTTAAGACACCCTTAGTGATCTCTAAATTTGTAAATAACCCAGCTGCAATGTACTGCTGGAGAAAATGTGGAGGGATTGGCGACCACCTACACATATTCTGGGATTGCCCAATGATGCTTCCTTACTGGAGGGGGGTAAAGAGTGAGATAGACAGGGTTCTGGGTACTGACATGCCGTTCACTCCAAGACAGTTCCTTTTGGACCTAAATCCCGAGGACAAGTACTCCAGAGATCAAAAGTATTTACTACATATTCTACTGATGACTGCTAGAAAAATGGTAACGATAAAATGGAGGAATGCACTGCCTCCTACGGTTGCACAGTGGAAGCAGAAAGTGAAGGAAGTATATGGAATGGAGGCTTTAACTGCCCAATTACAACTGAAGTTTGCAGTCCCAATTACCTATAGAGAGATTTATTTCCAATTGTACTGAATCCCACAGACTCTTATAATGTATTAACTGTCCATCTTTCTACTTTATTTGCCCATTTTACATTCTGTATCAGTCAGCTCCATGGATGCTGGATTTTCTTTTACTTGCTCTCCGTTATGCACTGTTACATAATCTCTATGTGCCAAGGAATGTTTAGCAATAAGTGTTCTTATTCATGTTTGTTTAAAAAGCAAATAAACATAAAGTAAAAAAAAAAAATTATGTTATTTTGCTGATTCTGACTGCAGTGCAGTTCTAGGCTGAGTGTCTGAGCTGGAGCAGAAAGCAGAGCAGCAGGAAGGCATCCTGACAGAGTTTTTATTCTCAGAGTCTTTTAATGCACTTCACCTCCACTCAGCTAGATGTAGAAGTAGTGATGTTTAATGCTACGTTCAGACCGTAAGCAGCAGAGGCAGCAGAAGCAGCTAGTTTACATGCAAACTCAATAGCTGATGGGCATAAAGGAGTAGCAAAAGGTCCAATAGGGGCTGATGAACACACCTTGATCTGGACCTTCATATGTCATTAGAACATGTTCTGGTTCTGCTTGGTTTACTACTTTAACTGGATCATTTTTCTGGGACTTTAGCTTTCAGTCAAATTATTTTTCTTCATTTATTTATTTTTTTAATATTTTAGTCTTAATCCTATCTCTCCAGTTGCTTCAACAAGTGTTTTATTCTTTATTCAGATTGAATCGCTGCAGTTTGTCAGAGATCAGCTGCGCTTCTCTGGGCTCAGCTCTGAAGTCCAACCCCTCCTGTCTGACAGAACTGGACTTGACCTACATCAGCTACCTGAAAGATGATGGAGTGAAGCAGCTCTGTGGTTTTCTCCAGTCTCCCCTCTGCAAACTACAGACATTGAGGTCAGTCACCATGTTTTAGGTTAGTGCTGATATTTCTGATGGTAAAGTTGTTTTGACTCTAAACTGCAGACATATGGCTGATATTCTACTGATCCACACTGAGGATCTTCTGGCTAAAGTCTGATTCTTCTTTACTGTTTTGGTCCAGTTAAAGTTTATTTCTTTTTTTTCTTTTTCTCCTCTCATGATTTATTCAATAATAAGCAGGAAACATGAAAGAATGAGTTGAATTTCAGTGTGGGGTTGCAGCATTATACAGAACTATTTTTCTCTCTTCTGTAAATTGTCATGATGTCTTTATGAGATCTTACCCACGTACAGTAACCCACTCATAGAAACCAGAGTATAAGTTTAACAGGTTTATTGAGGAGTACAGTTGGGTTGGATTTAGCGGAACTCAGAGAGCTGGTGAACCAGAACTGCAAGTGAGAAGGGAAGTTCACAGAGTTTAGTTCAGGGTCCGTGGGAACATTGAACGACGTCTTGCAAAAACAGAGACAAACGGGACTCCCATTTGTGGAGAAAGGTTTCTTCCCAGAATACAGTTGGTGTGGGTTTTTCCAGAGATTAAGGGGCTCGTTGTAGGGCGGACAAGGTTTGCTTTAGTTGGTTCCTGAGGAGCAATGAAGCGGACTGCCAATTAGATTTCAAGGAGAAATTGAACGGGACATATGCAGATCAATCCCCTGCTCAGTGTGAAACTCAAACAATCCTTCCAAGGGGAGAAGGCCAAACATCCAGTATTAAGGATGACTTTCTGTCGAAAGGCAAAAAACAAAACAACATTAGACTCAGAGAAACAAAAGACTCACTTAGACTCAGCTAAACTCAGCTTGGCTAGAGTACGCAAAACTGGCAAACATTCTGGCGTCTGCTGCTCAAATACTCCTCAGTGATGAGCCAACCAGCTGAGGTGTGCAGGAGGACCAACGAGGACAGGGTACCACCTGGTGGTGGGGGAGAGAGGAACACCAAAAACACAACCCACACAAACTGGATTCCTAACAGTACACCCCCCGTCAACGACCGCCACCTGTCGGTCCAGAAGAGCCGGAGGGCTGAGAGTTGCGGAAGTCCCAAATGAAGGATCCTGGGACCCAGGAATGGTCCTCTGGACTGTAACCCTACCAGTCTACCAGGTATTGCCACCCAGGCCCACGTTGAAGGGGATCCACGATCTTGCAGACTGTGTAGGCGGGGTGGCCATCAATGTCCAAGGGGGGAGGGGGCTCAGCGGGTGGGCTAGAAAAAACGGGCTTAACCTGGGAAACGCGGAAGGTGGGGTGAATCCGGAGAGTGGAGGGGAGACGAAGACGGAGAGCGGATGCTCCGATGGTCCTCTCCACCTCATAAGGGCCAATGAATCTTTTTAGACATGGCCTTGAGAGGGATGTCCTGGGTAGAGAGCCAAACCTTCTGGCCCGGGGAAAACGTATGGGCGACCCTTCTCTTCTGGTTAGCCCACCTACGGTTCTGTTTTTCAGACCTTCCGAGGGCCGTCACGGTCCTGCTCCAGATGGCTCTGCATCTACGGATGTCATGCTGAACAGAGGGCACAGTGATAGCAGCCTCCTCAGCTGGAAAAAAGGGGAGGCTGATAACCCAGAGGGGCTTTGAAAGGGAAGAGTCCAGAGGCAAAAGAGAGATGGGTGTTGTGGGCATACTCGACCCAAGGGAGAAACTGACTCCAATCGTTGGGGTTGGAAGCTGAAAGGCATCTCAGGCTGGCCTCCAACTACTGGTTCATGTGCTCCACTTGACCATTAGATTGAGGATGATAGCCAGAAGTGAGTGAGACTTTTGCCCCAAGGGTCGAACAAAAACTCTTCCAAACCTGTGATATGAATTGGGGCCCTCGATCAGACAGGATGTCTTGAGGGATTCCATGAAGGCGGAAAATGTGCTCCACAAGTAGTTGGGCTGTTTGCAGTGCTGTGGAAAGCTTCCTTAGTGTAACAAGATGTAACCCTTGGAGAAACGGTCAATAATGGTTGGAAAGGTGGTCATACCTTTAGAGGTGGGAAGTCTAGTGACGAAGTCTATAGCTATGTGAGACCAGGGTCTCTTGGGAATGGGCAATGGTTAAAGCAAACCGATAGGGGCTGATGTGAAGACTTGTTACGAGCGCTGGTCGGGCAGACCAACACAAACTCCTTAAAGGAATAGTACACCCAAAACATGATTAGCCTTCATTTTCTACTCACCCCCATGCTGAACAAAACTCTGGAGTACTTTTTTGATATCTCAAATGCATCTGGAGATCTGGGAGGCTTCTTGCTGTCTGCTGACATTCAAATAATGGAGGTCTATGGTGCCCGAGGCAGAAAGGTCCATAAAAGTCCACAAAAACGTGTCAATATTCCTCCATACTGCTCGTCCAATGTAATCCAAGTGTCCTGAGTGGGTAGCGTCCATAATTTACTCGAAACGAAGTCATTTAGACCGTTTTAGAGCCTAAACAGTAGTGTATAGGATTTCTTAATAGCGCCCCCATGCGCGCTCACGATTCTACGGAAGCCGGCAGACCAAACCAGCACATTCAGCTCGGCAAAGAACTCATGCTCTTCCTCAACACTGAAGTCCTCAGACATTTTTCTTTCGTTGTTTCTTTCTTTGCACAGGTAAACAGCACATTTCTTCTTCTACGCTTGCATTATCGGCAGAGCAGACGCTGAATGCGCACTTTCTTCCGGTTTGGTCTGCCGGCTTCTGTAGAATCGTGAGCGCGCATGGGGGCACTATTAGGAAATCCTATACACTACTGTTTAGGCTCTAAAACGTTCTAAATGACTTCGTTTCGAGTAAATTCTGGATGCTACCCACTCAGGACACTTGGATTACATTGGACGAGCAGTATGGAGGAATATTGACACGTTTTTGTGGACTTTTGTGGACCTTTCTGTCTCGGGCGCCATAAACCTCTATTATTTGAATGTCAGCAGACAGCAAGAAGCCTCCCAGATCTCCAGATGCATTTGAGATATCAAAAAAGTACTCCAGAGTTTTGTTCAGCATGGGGGTGAGTAGAAAATGAAGGCTAAACATGTTTTGGGTGTACTATACCTTTAACGTCCTTTAGTAAGGAGGGCCACCAAAAACCTCATCTAATGAGAGCCACAATATGACTGATACCTAGATGGGCAGAGAACTTGGAAGTGTGGAGCCAGTTAATTACCCGAGAGCGAATGGATGAGGGAACAAAAACTCTGTTGGGGGTCCAGTACCAGGATCAGGCACAGTCTGCTGGGCCTGCTTGAAAAGGTCCTCAATCTCCCAAGTGACTGCGGCGACTGAGCAGCTGGGAGGCAGAATGGGAGTAGCAGATTCATCTGGGGCAAACTGCCTAGAGAGTGCATCCGGTTTGATGTTCCAAGAGCCAGGGTGAAAGGACCAGCGGGATTGGCGAGGGTTCAGTCTCTTGGCGGATTGAATGTTTGACAGGTTTTTATGATCTGTCCAAACCTGAACAGGGTTTGCAGCTCCTTCCAGCCAGTGTCTCCACCCCTCAAGAGCTAGCTTTAGGGCTAATAGCTCACAGAGTCCAACGTCATAGTTTCTCTCTGCTGGGAAAAGTCTGGGAGAGAAGGCACAAGGGGGTAATTTGTCATCAAAGTCACATGTCTGGGAGAGGACGGCTCCAACACCAGAATTAGAAGCATCAACTTCCACCACAAACTGTTTAGAGAAATCAGGCTGCATGAGCACAGGTTCATTGGCAAAAAGGTCCTTTAAATGAACAAAGGCTGCCTCAGCCTCAGGGGTCCAAACAAAAGGGACCTTAGTACAAGTTAGAGAAGTCAGGGGTAGAGACGTTTGGCTGTAGTTCCGAATTAATCGACAATAGAAATGAGCAAGACCCAGAAAATGTTGAAGCTGTTTCCGGGTGTCGGGCATGGGCCAATCCAGAACAGCTTTAATCTTCTCCTCAGTGGGTCTCACCTGTCCGGAAACTGAAGGTTTATGGAACTCAGATTTCTCAGCTTTGACAAAAAGCTTGTTCTCTAGGAGACGCTGTAATACTTGGCCGACATTGATCCCATTTTCAGATAGGTTATTAGAAAAAATTAGGATATCATCAATGTAAACAAAGACAAAGATGTTCAGAAAATCTCTCAGGACATCATTCACCAGGGCATGGAAACAAGCTGGGGCGTCAATTAGACCAAAAGGCATCACCAGGTATTCAAAATGTCCTATGGGAGTTTTGAAGGCGGTTTTCCATTCGTCTCCCTCCCTTATTCGAAGAACATGATAGGCATTTCTGAGATCAAGTTTAGTGAAAACAGTGGTGCCTTGAACAGGTCCAAAAGCAGATGACAAAACAGGCAAAGGATATTGGTTCTTGACAGAAATTTGATTCAAACCTCTGTAGTCTATACAGGGTCTAAGAGAACCATATTTCTTTCCCACAAAGAAGAATCCAGCTCCAAGAGGTGATGAAGAAGGACAGATAATACCTGTAACCAGGGAATCCTTAATATATTTTTCCATAGCTTCCCTTTCTGGCTTGGAGATATTGAACAGATGACTGCTAGGCAGAGGGGCTCCAGGGAGCAGGTCAATGGCACAATCATATGGTCTGTGGGGAGGCAGGGAACAGGCTTCAGGTTTGCTAAATACCTGAGAGAGATTATGGTAGTCAGCTGGAACGGAGGAGAGATCAAGTGGGTCTGCATCACCAAACTCAAGCGGTTGGTACCCTGGGGGAACAGCAGATCTGAGACAATAAGAGTGACAGTTTACAGACCAAGGATCAATATGTCTGTTTGTCCAATTAATTGTGAGGTTGTGAAGCTGGAGCCACTCAAACCCTAAAATTAAGGCTGAGTTAGTGGTGGGAAAAACGTTGAAGGAGGTGTGTTACATATGATTTCCAGACACCCTCGGCTGAATGGGGCCTGTCTGATGGGTTATCTGGGGCAGGTTTCTGCCGCAAAAACCCGAAGAGGGTTCTGCAGAGGTATTATTTCAATACCCATCTGCTGAGCAAAGGCAGAGTC